TTCTTATTTTATTTCCTTTCTTTCTTTCTTTCTTTCTTTCTTTCTTTCTTTCTTTCTTTTTTTTCTTTCTTTCTTTCTTTCTTTCTTTCTTTCTTTCTTTCTTCCTTTATTGACTGCACGGTTTTTTTGTAATTTAACAAACAAAATTCGTTTTCTAAGCCCTTTTCTAAGCTGGATTTAAGCCCGGAGCCCAGCCCAGCTAAAGAAGCTTGCTAAAGACGTTCCTGGTGATAAAGTTAGCTGTACTTATACTTCTAATAGCCCCTTTTACATCCCATTTCTCATTCTTAAACCCTCAAATAATCTAGGTGACAAAAAAAAACAAATCGCCTGGGGTGTAATTGGAGAAATCTTGAGAAATGATAGAAATTGCTTTGTGTTGAGTGCACAGCCTCAGGGTAGAGCCCGGGGTCAGCCACAAGAAAGAGTTTTTGATTGACCCTAATATTTTATGACTACAGTACTCTAGCACAATATAAAACGTGGATCTAAGCCCGGTGCCCAACCCTGCTAAAGACGTTCGTGGTGATAAAGTTAGCTGTACTTAGCCCGGGGTTTTTGATTGACTCTAATATTTTACGATTACTATTTTACTACTACAGTACTCTAGCACAATTCCACTAAGGATAATTCCACAAAATCTTAGAAAAGCACTGAGTCAAGTTGACTTTTTCACTCAAAGAACAAGAACCAAGTCCATCGGCCTCATCCCCATGATCCCCATGATCTCGAATCTGTTTTTAGTTTTTGCAGAATGCAGAACGCTTCGCGAGATCTTTGGCATAGAAATTACCTTGAAAATCATCTCTTTACCAAGCCGTTACACGCCTTTAAACAACTGCTTCGGTAGTCTAGTGGATAGTCTGTTAGACTGCCAAACTGAACAAATTTAGGCTTTTTGCCCTCAAGTTCGAGTCCCACTCGTCGTCAAACTTTTTTGCCTTTTTTGTAAAACTGTTTTTCTCCGTATTTGTTATAAAAAATAGAGTTAATTGCAAGTATTATCATTAAAAAAAATGTTAATTGTAAGTACTATCATTTACCTAAATATTGTAGCTTGAAGTTTGATCCCAAGTCCCTTTTTAGAACTTCCTAAAGAACCAATCCCAAGAGATTTTTGAAGAGTGATGGATTGGCCATTTTTGTGTTCTTTCTTTTTATCTCTATATTCATAATGTCTCAAAAACCAAAGCCTAAATTGTTTAAGCTAAGCTTAAAAGCTTTAGCTATGGCTTTAGCTATGGCTCTAGCTATGGCTATGGCTTTAGCTATAGCTAAAGCCTACTTGTTTGGTTTTGTTTAGGTTAGTTGGCTTGGCTTGAGTCTAGAAAAACATGGATAGACATGGGAAACCAAGCCGAACCTAATGGGAAACCAAGCCAAACCTAATGGAAAACCAAGCCGAACCTAATGGGAAACCAAGCCGAACCTAATTCCCCCTTTTTCTCAGCTGTCTCTTGGTCTATTGTTCTGAAAAGTAGAAATTGACATTGCTTGTAAACGAAATTTCAGAGAAATCAGCCAAAAGACAACCGAGAAAAAGGGGGAATTAGGGTTGGTTGGAAATCTTAGTGAATAGATCGATCACTCCCTACCAAAGTTGTTTTAAGAAGGTCCAGTCTTGCCTTCCTGGCCTAGTCTTGCCTTCCTGGCCTAGTCTTGCCTGTCCTTAGCTGATCTAACTTGCCTTGCCTTGCCTGATCTAACTTGCCTTAGCTCAGAAATTGACTCTAAATAGAACCCTAGGGTACACGCGGATCGATCACCCTCTTTCCCTCTGTCCCTTCCCCTCTGTCCCTTTCCCCCTTCATCTTCTCACTTTTTTCTGCAATCTGTTGTCACTTTTTGTTGACCTTTCTTGTGCGATCTTTTCTCCCCATCTTTCCCCTCATTCGTTTCTTTCGAAAATGACACCCCGGGCGTTTTTGCTCGTTTTTTTTTGCAACCCTTTGACATCGTTTCTCCTCGCCGATTCGATCGATCAAGATCTTTTATTCAAAAAAAAAATGGATTTAGGGATTTTGCTAGTTTAGAAGACTAAAGGCTTGCTAAATTCTGTCAAAAAATTAACTTAACTTTTGCAATTTCTTTTCAAAATGAGCATTAAATTCATCGTTAAGCTGTAGTGAAATGATTTTTGCTTTTTCTGGCTTGTGCTTTCTTCAAATTTGGCTACTCTAATCAAAATCAAATCCCGAAAACATCCCCAAATCAAAATCCAAATCAAAAACAGTGCCCGGAATCGAACCCAAGTCACTAGCTTTAAAAACAGACTGAAAACAGGCTGAAAACAGGCTGAAAACAAGGACGCTAACCACTTGACTACAGCTATCACACATTTTTCTCTCTTTTCTCAAAGTCTAGACACGAAAATTCGCTGACTGATTCAAATTTCATCCAGTTTTTGTTTCTAACTTTTCCACAAAACCGGCAATCATCTTCGCAATCGTATTCTTTTCTATTTTTGGGTAATTCTCGACATTTTCTTTCAACTAATAACTGTTTCCCCAACTTTTGCACAGGTGAAAATTTCCGTGACCTTCAATGACGAAAGAGAGAATTTGGAGTGACTGAGGAAATTTTCTCGTTTCCGTTTAGCGAAAATTGATTCATTTTAGTGAAAATTGATTTATTTTAGCTAAAATTGATTTATTTTAGCCAAAATTTGATTCATTTTAGTGAAAATTGATTCATTTTAGCCAAAATTGATTCATTTTAGTCAAAATTGATTCATTTTAGTCAAAATTGATTCATTTTAGCCAAAATTTGATTCATTTTAGTGAAAATTGATTCAATTTAGTGAAAATTAATTTATTTTAGTGAAAATTAATTCATTTTAGTGAAAATTGATTCATTTTAGCCAAAATTTGATTCATTTTAGCCAAAATTGATTCATTTTAGCGAAAATTGATTCAATTTAGCGAAAATTGATTCATTTTAGCCAAAATTGATTCATTTTAGCCAAAATTGATTCATTTTTGAGTGTTTTAGAGAGAAATAGGCTAATTTATTAAATTATTTAGTCAATTAGCTGAATATCTTTTTTGTTTTATTTTTTACGGATCTCAAAACGGGTGGATGTTTCAATTTCAGTGGGTCGAGTTACTTAAGGTCGCTTTTTAGCAGGCGACCATCGGGTCGAGTTAGTCAAGTGGCTAGAAGGGTCGCCTTCAAGGCGAGCGGCCGGTCATTGGGTGCGGGTTCGGGTCCGCTCGGTGCTTTTTGATCCCAAATTTCTCTTCTTTTTTTGTTTTAAACTTTAAATCTATATAGATATCGATAAATTATCTAATTTGAAGTGCTTATCTATCAGAGTTATTTATCTATCAGCTCCTATTTATCGATCAAGGCAAATTTCCAGCTAAAAACCCTGATTTTTACCACTTTCACTAAATGAAATCCATTTTTTTGAATTAATTTTCTCAAATTTTCGATTACCTATATGAAAGTTCGAATTATGAGGGCTCAAATTAAGCCCAACTCGAATATTATAGGTTCTTGGCTTTCGGCGAGTCTACAATTATGAATATCTATGTAATTTCCGATCGAATTTACCTCTAGGGAAATTTTCACCTCTTTCATTTCTTTTATTTCTTTTATTTCGTCAAATTGAACCCTTTTCTTTCAGCAAATTGACACTTTGCATAAAGAAAAGACTAAAAATTATGGTTTTTAATGGATTTTTCGAAAGTTTTCACGATATTTCAAGAGATTTTTGTAGAGTTTTATAGATTTGACCCTTTTTTTATTGGGTTTGACCCTTTTTTATTAGATTAGATTTGACTTTTGACTTTTTATTGATTCTAGGTTACTAAATTGGCTATTAAATAGTATTAAGCCTATGGATTCATTGCTTAAACAGCAAAAATCTTTTGTATTTTATACTTAAGATGAAACTTTTTGTTGTAAATGGCACTTTCTAAAGCCGAATTCTCTATTTTCACATTCTAAGCAAGAGAAAGGAAGATTTAGTAACCAATTTAGTTTTAAAACATCGTACAAAACAATTTGGAAAGATTTGTACCTTTCTAGCATACTTAAATCGGCTATTAAATAGTATTAAGCTTATTTTCTAACAAGTTAAAGGCAAATAGACAGCTAAAAAGCGCTTAAAAGCTCAAAAACTGCTGTAAACAGCACTTTCTGAAGCTGAATTCTCTATTTCTCACATTCCAAGCATGAAAAAGGAAGATTTAAGTACGCTAGAAAGGTACAAATCTTTCCAAATTGCTTTAGACGATGTTTTAAAACTAAATTGGTTACTAAATTGGTTACTAAATTGGCTATTAAATAGTATTAAGCTTATTAAGCTTATTAAATAATACTAAGCTTATTTTCTAACAACTTAAAGGCAAATAGAAAGCTAAAAAAGCGCTCAAAAGCTCAAAAAGCTGCTAAATCTTTCCAAATTGCTTTAGACAATGTTTAAAAACTAAATTGGCTACTAAATCGGCTATTAAATAGTATTAAGCTTATTTTCTAACAAGTTAAAGACAAATAGAAAGCTAAAAAGCGCTTAAAAGCTCAAAAAGCGCTTAAAAGCTCAAAACCACTCAACTTTGTTCTTTGAAATGTACATTGTGTAGAAATTTGTACTTTGTAATTTGTAAATTTGTAAAAGCAGCTTTTCTGTTTCACTAAATCACTAGATTTCTTTTTTTTCCCTTTTTTTTTCCCTTCATCCAATCAATCTCCTATTTTTCTTTTGCCCAAATCTTTTTCTTTGCTCAATTCCTTTTGTCTATAATCTTCTTTATCTTATCTTTTCTTTATTTACTCTTCTTTCACCCAAAAAGCGCCTTTTTTACAACTCTTTTTTCTTCTTTTTCTTCTTTTTCTTCTTTTTCTTCTTTTTCTCTGTTCTTTATCGTGTTTTGATCAAATTCTCAATTTTTCTTTCAATTTTTTCAATTCTTGATCAATTTCTGAATATTTCTGAATATTTCTTTAATCAATATCACTTTCAGACATTCAATTGTACTCACAAAAACTCCAGAAAGATGTCTCAAGCGCTATTGAATGAACACATAGAGGTTTGTGTACTTTTTGCACTTTGTTCCATTCCAGGTGAACTTTGTGCTTAAAGTTTGTAAACGCAACTTTCTAGTGCACTAAATAGCAAGCCAAGCAAGCAAGCAAACCAAGCAAGCAAGCCAAGCAAGCAAGCAAGCAAGCAAGCAAGCAAGCAAGCAAGCAAGCAAGCAAGCAAGCAGGCAAGCAAGCAAGCAAGCAAGCAGGCAAGCAAGCAAGCAAGCCAAGCAAGCAAGCAAGCAAGCAAGCAGGCAAGCAAGCAAGCAAGCAGGCAAGCAAGCAAGCAGGCAAGCAAGCCAAGCAAGCAAGCCATTCCTTCAAGAAAGTAAAGATTTCCGTGCACTAGAAGATTTGCGTTTACAGATGAGTGCAAGATCAGCGCAAAATGAGCGCAAGATCAGCGCAAGATCAGCGCAAAATGAGCTCAAAAGACATCAAAGGCCCACTTAAGTCTCCCTTTTTCTTTCAAAAACCAATTCCCCTAATGGTCAAGTGGTTAGCTGCGTTGATTGTTAATCGAAAGATCGACTGTCAATCGAAAGCTCTGTCGACTGTCGATCCCCGTCTCTGTCAAAATTTCATCAAATCGGAATGATCGAGAGATTTTCTATGAAGATAGGCTAAACTACACCTATCAAAATCTCAACTAAATGATTACTCTTGTCCGATAAGAGCTGACCGATTTGTTTTTTTGACAAAGATTGTTGACAAAGACAAAGACAAAGACAAACCAAAGACAAGACAAAGACAAAGAAAAAGACAAAGACAAAGACAAAGACAAAGACAAGACAAAGACAAAGACAAAGACAAAGACAAAGACTTTAAGATTTAAGATTTCTGCTTTTTCAGGCTATCCGAAAAGACTACATGCAATCGGTAAACCAACTTCAGCAACAGTCGAGAGAGTTGGCAACGGCTAGAGAGGTGGGGTGGTAAACGCACTGCAGCTGGTGTGTGGAATGTATTACCTTTTCAAGCTGCTTCTTTTTCAAGCTCTTCAGATATTCAGTAAACTTTTTAGTGCTTACTGTAGATTTGGGGCTAATCGGACATTTGATACACGTCCGGCTCCTTTCGCTATTGGCAATCTAGCTTTGAGCTCAAATATCTTGGTGTTGGGCTGTCCAATTGAAATACTTTTGGTATCATTCGATGCGCCAAGTCTTTCTCTGTCGATTGGTACAAAAACTATTGAAATTGGACAACCCAATGCGAAGATATTTGAGCTCAAAGTTGGATTGTCAATGGGAAAGGGGGACGGGAAGGTCTTTCTGACCCCGCCCCTTTTGCTAATCCAACTTTGAGCTCGAATTGGACAATTGGACAGCCCAATACCAAGAAATTTGAGCTTAAAATTGGATTGGCAAAAGGGGCGGGGCCAGAAAGACCTTTTATACGCACCCCGCCCCATCGCCATTGACAATCCAACTTTGAACTCAAATATCTTGGTGCTAGGTTGTCCAATTTCAATAGTTTTTGTCCCAATCAACAGAGAAAGACTAGGCGCATCGAATGATACCAAAAGTACTTCAATTGGACAGCTTAACACCAAGATATTTGAGCTCAAAGTTAGATTGCCAAAGGGAAAGGGGCGTGGCTTGTCAGATGTCCCAGAATCGATTTGAGAACTTTACAGTATTCTAAAAGTCACTAAATTCCTGTAGCTTGTTTTTACTGCTGCTTGTTCTTACTGTAGCTTGTTGACAAGGCTAATGCTCTCGTAAACATCAGCTTTCTGGCACACTGAAGTTAGATAGTTAGTTAGATAGCTAGTTAGATATTTTAGCAAAAACTAAAAACGACCATTTTTCCAGGAATTGAACCATTCGAAACAATTGCAAATGCAACAAATGCAAGAGTTGTCGATAGAGTTGGCAAAACAGCAAGAAATCGGTGAGTTTTAAAGGAAGGTTTTTGAGCATCTGATCTCTTTAGATCAGATGCTCAGTAGTAGATTCATAGCTCAGTAGATTCAGTAGATTCATTGCCTAAAGAGATTCATTGAATTCTTTCAGCCAATCGATTAACACGGCTCATCAGCGACTACATGCCGCATTTACCTCAACAGCAACAAGTCGCTGTGGTTAGTTTTAAAGGGTTTTTTTGGTATTAACACATTCACGAGGATACGGCCCACCGGTGGGCTTCGTACGTGAAATTAGCTTCGTACGTGTGGGCTTCTTCGTACGTGTGGGCTGCTTCGTACGTGTGGGCTTCTTCGTACGTGTGGGCTGCTTCGTACGTGTGGGCTGCTTCGTACGTGTGGGCTGCTTCGTACGTGTGGGCTTCTTCGTACGTGTGGGCTTCTTCGTACGTGTGGGCTGCTTCGTACGTGTGGGCTGCTTCGTACGTGTGGGCTGCTTCGTACGTGTGGGCTGCTTCGTACGTGTGGGCTTCTTCGCACTTTTTCGCACTTTTTTTCGAAATTCGCACTTTTTTTCAACCGATTGGGCTCAAAATTTGCAATCAGGGGTTTTCGAGGACGGGGAATTCGAATGCGTTATTCGTTTCTAAACAAAACTGCTCTATTTTTGGATATTTCATCGGGTTTAATTACCCAAGTGCAACCGCGCTTACAAAAATCGTGATTTTAAACGTAAATTTTCATGTTTATGCAAACGCGCGGCTTCTGACACAGCTTCTAGAGATAAAGGACAAAATCTGAGCTCGATTTCGCCTTTTTCTCTTCAATTTGATTTAATTATTCAAGTTTTAGAGAGTTTTGTTTTGACCAAGTTCTAGAGTTTTGTGATTTCTAATGTTTGATGGCTCGGAAGTCAAAGTTGCTTAAAAACTAATAACTGATTCAAATTCTCCATCCTAGAATGCTTCTGGTTACAAATTTTCAGGTCTAGAGCTAAAGCTGACGTCCGAAACGGCAGCCAAGACAAAAATGGATTTGGCGTGAATAATAATAATAATAATAATAATAATAATAACAATAATAATAATAACAACAATAATAATAATAATAATATCGCTCGGTCTGTCTGTCTACAGTAATCCTTCTCGTCTGTCTTTCTACAGTAGTCCTTCTCGTCTGTCTGTCTGTCTTTCTACAGTAGTCCTTCTCGTCTGTCTGTCTTTCTACAGTAGTCCTTCTCGTCTGTCTGTCTTTCTACAGTAATCCTTCTCGTCTGTCTGTCTGCCTTTCTACAGTAATCCTTCTCGTCTGTCTGTCTGTCTTTCTACAGTAATCCTTCGCGTCTGTCTGTCTGTCTGTCTTTCTACAGTAATCCTTCGCGTCTGTCTGTCTGTCTGTCTTTCTACAGTAATCCTTCGCGTCTGTCTGTCTGTCTGTCTTTCTACAGTAATCCTTCGCGTCTGTCTGTCTGTCTGTCTTTCTACAGTAATCCTTCGCGTCTGTCTGTCTGTCTTTCTAGAGTAATCCTTCGCGTCTGTCTTTCTACAGTAATCCTTTTCGTCTGTCTGTCTGTCTGTCTACAGTAATCCTTCGCGTCTGTCTGTCTGTCTCTCTACAGTAATCCTTCGCGTCTGTCTGTCTGTTTGAGCAAACGCGACGCTCCGTAATTACCTTTGCCCTATGGTTAAAAGGCAAAGTATTCAGCTTTTGCGCGCAATATTTGGCGTGCTGAAGTAAAGTAAAGTAAAGTAAAGTAAAGTAAAGTAAAGTAAAATAAAGTAAGCAATAGCACCTGGCAACTGGGATACCGTATTTATTCTAATAGATGTGCTGTGTGCTTCTATTAGAATAAGCCCCGCTCACACACGTCAGGAGAAAAAGTTGCACTACAGTCTATGGCCAAAAATTAGTCTATGGCCATAAATTTGGTGAAATAATAAAATGTTCTCAGCGTCTTACTCATGGAATTAAGTTAAAAATTCAATTTTATGGTCCAATTTTTTCTCTTGACGCGAGAAGGCGGGCCTCTAATAGAATAAATAAAAAAAATATCCAGAAAACAAAATAAAATTCAATTTTTACCAATTAAAGCCTCACTTTCAGATGACCGAAGTGATGCAATTGGAAAAAATGCGCATGACGCCGATTTCCGCGATGGAACAACAGCAAGCGATGTTGGCGCAAATGTTCATGCAACAAGCGCAAGCAGCACAAGCACAACAAGTACACGCGGCTCAATTGCTGGGATTGGGGTGAGTTGGAAGAGTTGGAAGAGTTGGAAGTTGTGCTGGAAGAGTTGGAAGTTGTGCTGGAAGAGTTGGAAGTTGTGCTGCAAGAGTTGGAAGAATTGGAAGTGGTTTTTCGGCTTTTTTTACTATTAAGCCTGAAGTTTCCTGTGTAGAAATGAGACTTGAACTTATACTTGTTTTGATTTTAGAAGAGGTATGATGTCGGGTGGAGCACCGGGAGCGAGTCCACGCGGAGGGAAACCAAACGGAGTGCAGCCTGGGATGCCACAAGTTTCAATGTCTCCAGGTGATTGAGCTTTAAAGCTTTAAAGTCTCCAAGCAATTGCTGGGATTCTCCAAGCTTTAAAGCTTTAAAGTCTCCAAGCTTCAAGTCTTCAAGCTTCAAGTCTTCAAGCTTTAAAGTCTTCAAGCTTTAAAGTCTCCAAGCTTTAAAATAACCTTAAACACAAGCCAAGAGTCACAGGCCAATCTATAGTATTCAAAAATCAAAACAAAACAATCAAAACAAAACTCAAATTCTCAGGTTTCCCATTGGCGATGATGTCCCAATTCGGCTTGCCCTCAATGCCACAATTCGCCCATCCCGTTATGCCGATCCCCGGAATGCAAATGGGACAATTAGGTGAATAGAAATATCTAGGCGAATCTCTAGACTAAATCTAAACTAGGCTACGATCACAGTCTTACTGTATCTACAGTCTTACATCTACAGTAAGACTATTACAGTAAGTAATCTAGAACTATAACTTCAGCCCCTCCACCCACATTGAATGTTCAAGTCTCTACCCCATCGAGGACTCACTCAAGCGGCTCGAGAACACCATTGTCTATGCAGGCTCAACCCTCGCCCAGAGAGGTAAATCTTGATTCTTAAAATTTACTATTTATACAGTAAAACAATCGATTTTTGCATGTAAACTGAAAGCTAAGTAGCCTAAATTTCCCTCATTGTTAGCAAGGATGAACTGAACTAGGTCCAGACTTGGTCAAAGCTCTCGTAATCCAAACAGACACTTTTGTCTGGCCTAGCCGTTAAAAGGAGTAAAAGGAGTGTAAAGGTCAGGATCAGGTCAAAATCTGGACCTACTATCTAGATTACTATATAAGCCAGGCCTGGTTTGGCCTGGCCTGGCCTGGTTTGGCCTGTCCTGGACCTGGTTTGGCCTGTCCTGGACCTGGTTTGGCCTGGTCTGGCCTGGTTTGGCCTGGGCTGGCCTGGTTTGGCCTGGCCTGGCCTGGTTTGGCCTGGTCTGGCCTGGTTTGGCCTGTCCTGGACCTGGTTTGGCCTGTCCTGGACCTGGTTTGGCCTGTCCTGGACCTGGTTTGGCCTGTCCTGGACCTGGTTTGGCCTGTCCTGGACCTGGTTTGGCCTGTCCTGGACCTGGTTTGGCCTGTCCTGGACCTGGTTTGGCCTTGATTCCGAAAAACATGGTTTCAGCACAGGTTTCCATACAAAAAACTAAGTAAAGTCCATTCTTTTGAAATTTTGAGTCAAAGGCACCTCAGTAAAATGGCTGCAAAAACTTTGAAAGTTGCTGAATCGATAAACGGTTTTTTTTCCATTCAATCCGCTAGATAATTAGCTTTTGAAAGAGCTCAGGAGCTTTTGAAAGAGCGCAGGAGCTTTTGAAAGAGCTCAGGAGCTTTTGAAAGAGCTCAGGAGCTAGCTTTGAGAGCTTTGAAAGAGCTATTACACGATCAAATCGGATAAGTTTAAGATCCTCTTCCAAAAAATCGGCGACAACTTTCTCCCGAATCCAATAGAACAGACAAGAAGTTAATTAAGCGTAAAATTGCGTAAATCTCGCCAAATCCTTTTTGCCAAATGATTTTTATGCTTTCTGGAAACCAATACACTAAATAAGAACATAATCAGTAAGAGAAAAAAGGTTTTTTTTGAAATTTGGCCTCGATTCGTACCGCCGCCATTTAACAGAACATGTTTTAACAGTTTTAACATGATTTAGAAATAAAGTTGACTACGTCTAGCACTAGCAATTTTAGCAATACTAGCACAGCACTAGCACAGCACTAGTACAGCACTAGCACAGCACTAGTACAGCACTAGTACACTAGCAATTTCGGTGTACGGAGTGCGGTAGTAGGTCGATAAAGTTCTCAAAGCATACGGCGCTTGTCCACCCATTCCTTAAATCATCAAATCATCAAATTTCAGAAGCCAACCCCAACCGCTGTCGTCTCCTCGTCTCTAATCGGCAGTGCTGTCCCAATTCCACAAGAGGGAGCCACCGGCTCTCCAGTGGTTTCCCCTCAATCCGCTGACTCAGCTCCACACTCAATCGACGGTCATGGATCGGCTCCACTCCAAATCGCTGACTCGCCGCAAATCAAAAATGAAGTCAAAGGTGAAGAGCTTTCTGTTGCTTAAACCTTTAAAAAAATGCTCAATTTTTGTTTTTTATTCGAGATTGTATAACTGGGAGTGTTTGGGTATAAATTTTGACCGTTTTTTTTGACCATTTTGACCGTCGGCTATTTGATTTTTGATTGGGAATTGATAGTTGATTGGGAATTGATTGATAATAGATTGATAATAGATTGATAATAGATTGATAATTACTATAATAAAGTGATCTGGATAAGGTAAAAGCTGTAAAATTTGATCTAGAGAAGGTAAAACCCGTAAAATTTGATCTGGAGAAGGTAAAACCCGTAAAATTTGATTTGGATAAGGTAAAACCTGTAAAATTTGATCTAGATAAGGTAAATTTCTTTCGAAATTCTTTCGAAATTCTTTAGAAATTTCTAAATTAGCTGAAGAATCTAGAATCTAGAGGTTTTAAGGGACGATAAGGCATCATAAGGATCCCGTAAGACATAGAAGGGCACTGTAACGCTAAGAATATTGTAAAATAATTATATTATGTTTAGCTACAGTATTCCAAAAGAAAAAGAGTAATTGGTGTAGTATTTTGAAAGAATTCGGGTCTTTGAAAAAATCCGGGTCACCGGCGCGTCACACTTTGAAGGCCTATAACTTTGTCTAGAGCCAATATTTTTGCTAACTTTTTATATCATTGTAAAGAGGACATTTTAGGCTTTTAAATGATAACAAATAGAGCTTGATTGGATAATCGAGTCCAAAAAAATTGGGTGGCACAACACCCGAGTTGGATGGACCTCATTTGCTGAGTGTTGTGCCACCTAATTTTTTTGGAGTCGTTTATCCAATCAAGCTTTATTTGGTATCATTTGAAAGCCTAAAATGTCCTCTTTACAATGATATAAAAAGTTAGTAAAAATATTAGCTCTAGACAAAATTATAGGCCTTCAAAGCGAGATGACCCGTTGATAAACCCGGATTTTTTCAAAAGATCCAAATTTTCCCAAAAGATCCGAATTCTTTTAAAATTCTTTCAAATGCTCTTTTAGTACTGTACAGTACTATGTACAGGTAGTACTGTAGTACTTAAAATCCTCTTTAAAGGTAGTTCAAGGCATTCAAAGCTCTACAATCTCATTTGTCCAATTTCCCCAATCTTTTCTCAATGTCAATTGCTCTCTTTTCGTTTTTATATCAAATTTTTCACTCTTTTCACTGCACCAGAAGGTGTGCGTTTACGAAAAAGCCTAAAATTTCAACAATTTAAATCCTTTCTCCGTTTTCCCATACCGGTTTTTTCGAAATTTTCGAAATTTTTCGAAAACATAAAATTTTCGAAATTTCCCTCATTTTCCTCATTTTCCTGAAAATAATATACCTCTTTTTTGTGAAATTTTCGAATTTTAATTCAATTTAACGAATTTCTAGTGCAAATTTTGATGTTTTCCTAGAAATTTTTACGTTTTCCTAGAAATTTTTAACGAAATCACCCAAGAGCAAATGTTTTCTAGATTTCTCAGGAATTTCTCGATAACTTTTTATGTTTAAATGCTCGTTTCTTTCATTTAAAGTGTCCTCGCTATGTTGGCATATCACCGAAATGATTTTTAGCAAAAAAAATCAACAAAAAAGCAGCTACCGGAGTCGAACCAGGGATCGATCTCGCTTGAGTCAACGCGGCCAACCACTCGGCCATGCTGGGTGGCCGTGGCCGAGTGGTTAGCACGCTCGGTTCTCGCACTCTTCTCGCGACACTCCGGCCCTGGTTCGAGTCCTTTCCTCGAAATTTTCTTCTGCCAAATGGGTAAAAGCATAAATTGGCGATCTGTTTCACGAAACTACTTCCTCTATGACCCGATTTAATGTAGATTTTCTCTTTTTTTGGGTGAATACAAGCGTCACTACGGTTCCTCTCAACATTGGTCTCTTGTGGCTCATTTTTTTTCTTGTTTTACAATTTTACAATCTATTTTTTCTTTTACAATGTATTTTTAAGCGAAACGAACTATTTTTTGGTGAATTTTCTTCTAAAAAACCGTTGTTGTTTTCGTTTTTTTTGTTTTATTTTCGATCACCGACTTTGGCAGTTGTTTCGTGAATAAAGTTTATAAGAAAGTTCTAAATTTACGCAGTTTTTCAATCCGAAACAGTACAGTACAGTACAGTACAGTACAGTACAGTACAGTAAGAAAGAGTCATTTTACAGTACACTGGTTTTTGTTTCTACAAAAGAATGTACAGTGTTTCTACAAAAGCAGAAACAGTTATAAACAGCTTGAACAAGCCTTAAACAAGCCAGCCTAAGCCTAAGCCTTAAGCAAGCCTTAAGCAAGCCTTAAGCAAGCCTTAAGCAAGCAAGCCTAAGCCTAACCTTAGCTCCGAGAACTGGCTGAGATTCAGAAAATGGGGGTTTAGCCCAAACCCACATAGACTTAGTGCGAGGCGCTAGCCGCTAGCCTTCGCACTAAGCCTAAGCCTGAGCAAGCAAGCCTTGCTTAAGGCTTGTTCAAGCTGTTTATAACTATTTCTGCTTTTCTTAGTGTACTGTAAGATGACTGTTTCTTACTGTACCGTGTTTATAACAAATCGGAACTACAAGAAAACCAATAGGAACCAAATAGGAATCAAATAGGAACCAAATGGGAAACAAATAGGAACCAAATAGGAACCAAATGGGAAACAAATAGGAAACAAATAGGAACCAAATGGGAAACAAATAGGAACCAAATGGGAAACAAATAGGAACCAAATGGGAAACAAATAGGAACCAAATGGGAAACAAATAGGAACCAAATGGGAAACAAATAGGAACCAAATGGGAAACAAATAGGAACCAAATAGGAACCAAATAGGAAACAAATAGGAAACAAATAGTAAACAAATAGTAAACAAATAGGAACCAAATAGGAATCAAATAGGAACCAAATAGGAAACAAATAGGAACCAAATGGGAAACAAATAGGAACCAAATGGGAAACAAATAGGAACCAAATAGGAAACAAATAGGAAACAAATAGGAACCAAATAGGAAACAAATAGGAACCAAATGGGAAACAAATAGGAACCAAATAGGAAACAAATAGGAACCAAATAGGAACCAAATAGGAAACAAATAGGAAACAAATAGTAAACAAATAGTAAACAAATAGGAACCAAATGGGAAACAAATAGGAACCAAATAGGAACCAAATAGGAAACAAATAGGAACCAAATAGGAATCAAATAGGAACCAAATAGGAAACAAATAGGAACTACAAGGAAACAGATTGGAATCGAGTAGGAACCAAATAAGCATCAAATCAACACCAACACGCGTCCCGTTGCCACGCGTCCCGTACGACAAAATACTTCCATCAGAGTCGCAGAGACGTTGTCGACGTCCTCGTTTAGGTCAATCTCTTCCATTAACACCGCAAGTTGCTTGTCAGCTCTTGCTTGCGAGAGTTTAGCCGTGCCTGTAGAAATTTTGCCAACATCATGAATCGAATGAATCGAATTGTCTTTCGATCCATCAATCGCATTAGTAATACCGCAAAATTTCAAATTAAAAACCTAATACCCAAAGCAAAAAGCGCTCTAAATGATCAAATTTCGCTTAGCGCGTACGGTATTTGGTATAGGAATCAAATAGGAGCCAAATAGAAGGCGTAAAATAAAAAAGCACTAGTTTTCTGATAGAAGCCACGGCTTTTTGTTAGAGGGCGACTTAAGAAATACTATTATCAGCCAATGTTTTGCGGCTAACGCATCGTTTTTGTTTTCACCAAAAAGCTTTCGATTAAAAACTGAACTTTGAAAGATTCAGAGGTTTTAGAAAAGCTTTTTCTTTCGTCTTAGAAAGATGAGCTTTTCCCTCAATCCCAATTAGTCCCCAGGGAAATCGGAGAAGTTTCAAAATAAAGCAAAGAAAAGGGAAATGAAGAAGAACTCACTGACAGACTGAGTTCTGAGATTCGAAAAACACCTTGATTTCAAGATTTCAAGCTTTCAAAGATATTTAATCTGTAAAACTGAATATCTTTTTGAAAAGACTCATTTTTGATCGTTCTGAAATTGAAACTGAATACTTTAATCTAAACTAAGTACCGTAATCTAGCTATTCTAGACTGAAGATCCTAGTCCAGATTGAATACCGTAATCCAGACTTTCTAGACTGAATACTCTAATCCGGACTGAATACTCTATCTAGACTGAATACTCTAATCTAGACTGAATACTCTAATCTAGACTGAAAACTCTAATCTAAACTAAATACCGTAATCTAGCTATTCTAGACTGAAGATCCTATTCTAGATTGAATACCGTAATCCAGACAGCCTAGACTGAATACTCTATCTAGACTGTCTGGATAGAGATTCAAACTGAATACCCTGATCTAGACTCAATACCGTAATCTAGCCATTCTAGACTGAAGATCCGATTCTCATTTCTGAAATTTTCCCAAATCACATGTAGTTTTTAAAGAATTCGATTTATTGACGAAGAATTAAGCCAAAATTTATTAAGCCAAAATTTTGATTCGAATTTCCGGTTTGTGAATTGCACGCAAACTGGAGAACTCACGTGGAATCATTTTTTTGCGTTCAACTTCGTTTATTTACCCAACTTAACGTCGCTTTTTGGTACGATTGAATCATTTCTCATGCAAAAAAACGCATTTTTTACCCCAATTTTTATCCTTACGCTTACCTAATGTACTTTTGCTCTGAAACTACATAAATCTAAAGATATCTTATGCTTAATCCTTAAGTTAATCATAAATAAATAGCCTAGATGTGAATGTACCAAGCTTTGACCTTATCTGACTTGGCTTGATCCGGAAAATCTTTAGAACAATCACAGTAATGCTGCTTTAAATGACGGCTTATATTGAAGGTTACAGAAAAACGAGCTCATTCAATCGATTGCCCGATCCCGAAAACCCCCGAGTACAAATTTACAGCTAAATATCTTCTTTTTGTGCCATCAACAAAGCAAAAGAGAAATCCATATGGAAATCACTCGCGAGGTGTTCTTTGTGCGGCCGCGTAATCGCTCTCCATCTAGCAAAGAGCTCTGGTCTAGAAGGCTTCCCTTTTGAAATCCTTAAAGGGGAACGAGAGGTCAGCAACTGTGCCGGTTATCGGACATTTAATACGCGCTCCGCCTCTTTTGCCATTGGGAATCTAGCGCATATCTTGGTGTTGGGCTGTCCAATTTAAATACTTTTGGTATCATTGGATGCGCCAAGCATTTCCCTGTCGATTGGTAAAAAAACTATTGAAATTGGACAACCTAGCGCCAAGATATTTGAGCGCAAAGTCAGATTGTCAATGGCAAATGGAGCGGGATGCGTATAAAAGGTCTTTCCAGCTCCGCGCCTTTTGCCAATCCAATTTTAAGCTCAAATTTCTTGGTGTTGAGCTGTCGAATTTCAATAGTTTTTGTCCCAATCGACAGAGAAAGACTTGGCGCATCGAATGATACCAAGAATGTATAAATTGGACAACCTAGCACCAAGATATTTGAGCTCAAAGTTAGATTGCCAATGGCAAAGGGGCGGAGCTTATTAGATGTGCGATAACCTTTTTATACCCGCTCTCTTTGCCATTAGCTATTGGCAATCTAATCTAACATCACATTTGAGCAAAAAGTACCATTTCTCAAATTCTATAAGCCTAATTTTTTGAGTCAAATCACCACGTGAACACAAAGTGATTCAAATTTCCGGTACCCGTTAGAGGAAAAGGGTTTAGATTTCAGAAAAATCCTTCACCCAACGAAAATTGTTATCCAAAAACTCTATGAATCACATGTTTTTTCAAAGAAATAATTCTTATTTCAAAAGTTTTATTTTTATTTTTAAAAACCGATCAAAACACTCAAAAAAAGGTTCATCGGCCAAATATCTCAAAAATTCAAAAGAAAAAAGAAAATGTTCGTGACCTATGAGAATTGCAAAGGTTTGGATCAATTTCAAATTCTGAAGAAATCTAGAGCATTTGAAATTCTTTGGCACTAGAATTTTAGTTCATTTACCCAATCATCAACGAACAAATGGGGCACCTACGTTTTTCCGCAATTTTTTTTCCGCATTTTCGGTCGCAGTGCGTAGCTGTCCCATTTGTTGGGTTTTGCTTTGGAAATCAAAAGATATTCTATTTTCCGCTTACAAGCCTGTTTTCTATCATAGAACAAAAGTTAAATCGAGTTTCGAATCAGCTCTTTCTATGCTTTTTCGTCGTAAAGAAGTAAAGGATTTGAAAAAATGATTTCCAGACACAATTCTCAAAAATTTCTCACAAGAGAAAGAAAACGTGATTCTCGAGTGAAAAAGGGTCACTCAATTTGCATTTTTTTTTTTACTGACTCAATCGTTTTTTCTTTTTCTTGGAACATGTGCTTAAAGGCTTTGTTTTTCTTCATTACTTCTCCACTGCTTCAAAAATTTGATTTTATTTGAGTCAGTCTATCGAAAACATGAGAGATTTCTAGATTTCTAAAAACTAAAAATAAAACTTCTACAAATATTTATCAATTTGGATTCTTAAACGTTCTTAAACATTCTTAAACGTTCTTAAACGTTCTTGAACACTCTTAAACGTTCTTGAACATTCTTGAACATTCTTAAACGTTCTTAAACGTTCTTGAACGTTCTTAAGCGTTCTTGAACGTTCTTAAACGTTCTTGAACGTTCTTAAACGTTCTTGAACGTTCTTAAACGTTCTTGAACATTCTTAAACGTTCTTAAACATTCTTGAACATCTGATTTCTTGGTTTTTATGGAGTATCGCTGGGGTAATTGCATTATCGCTGGGGTGACAATCTAAACATTATTATCTAAACACTGGCAAAATACCTCTTGTTGTTTGCTCATCGTTGCTTCTTTGGCATCCTTGCCGACGTGTGAACCTAAATTTATCAGATTAATCATTTTAAAAGAACAATATCCAAGAAAACAACAAACAAACAAACTTACACAAAAAAATTAGGCAGCATTTCATGAATGGTCGTGCTGTGGCATTCGACATTCTTTCGACCCTGAAAGAAAAAAATTAGTGAAAAGTAACAAATAACGTAATAACAAGTAACAAACATCGCAACAAAAAGTAATTAATAATAATTGGAAAGAATGATGCAAACAGCGACTGCAAATTTAAAAAGACAACATATTTGATTGACTCAACAGTTCGATTGACACCAAACTTTTCGCTGACAGCCTTCTTCGAAATTTTCTTAGCGTCTTCCACAGCTTCTAATTTTACACTTCTTGTATAAGCCTTTTGTTTTCGTGAAGCTCCGAGATTGCAAATGTAGATACCATTTGAATGATCCGTCTCCTAATTCAACTGATGTCAAATGCCTTCCGGCTCCCTTGAATTCACTAGATTGTTGCTGCTTAATTTGATCCTTTTGCTGAATCCATCGCACAATCATAGCTCGATTGACGCCAAACTTCTCAGCTTGTTTGAATCATTCATATAATTTGAGTAATTTGTCTTCTAATTCAACTGATGTCAAATGCCTTCCGGCTTCTTTCAAATGCGTATAAGCCTTTGGTTTTAGTGCAGCTCCGAGTGACTCATCTTCGTTTTCACTCGAAACGGCATCACCATGAGCATCACGTCGATCTTGGCTCCCAGCTCTGTCTACCAAATCTGCATCACTGCGGCATCACGTCGATCTTGGCTCCCAGCTTTGTCTACCAAATCTGCATCACTGGGGCATCATCCTTTTGCAACCGATAGACTTCTCACACAACTTCGCGTCCTTCTTTATACCATCCATCGAGTTCGTTTTCCGGCGCAAGCGAAATTCCTCGAGGTCGTCAAAGCTTGAACGTTGTTGAGCTGGCGACATCTACCTAAAAATCAAAAATTATCCAATGAAAACGAATAAAGTAATAAAAAGAACGTAAAAATTAAAGAACGAGCTGTTCAGCTAATGGGTTTTTGAAATGGGCGAATTCACGAGGAATAAAAAAAAAACCAATGACTTTGACCAATGAGTTTCAGAATAATTTCAAGTTAGCTAGTGTTCGGTAGTTTTAGCGCACAATAAATCTTCTAGTGTGTTTTTCCTTTATTTCTCATGAATTGGCCCATTTCAAATCCATCAACTAGACGGCTCATTTTCTAGAAAACGCAGAAGGGGAGAAGTTTTATGACCTAAGCCGCAGAAAAGGGAGATTGGGAAATAATGAGCCTACACAAGATTTTTTTGAATAAAAAATTAAGCTATAAAGAATCTTTGTAAAGAGAAAAGACTTTTTCGACTAATAAAGTGCGTCTTATATTTCGAGAAAACGCCCAAATTTTCTCTGTTTGAAGAGTTTTCACAGTTTTTTCGCAAACAAATGTTGTTTTTCGAGATCAGCGTATTCGAAAATCTAAATTGATATTGTTTATTCCAAAAAATAACAGAAATAGCTTTGAAAATAAAGAATTAAGAAATTTAGGTGTCCCAAATTTCGAGAAACCTTAACAATAAATGATCATTAGCATAGCAAATGCAATATCAAAAAGTTGAGTAAGCGTTTTAATTTCATCTAATAATCAATTTGTTGTCGGGGTAGGCTAATTTCCGCCATTTTATTGGCGCAACAGGATCATTTGCGCAACTGAGTCGTTTGCGCAACTCGCCATAACTTTTTTCTAAGTGACACAATCTTTATAATTTTGGTTTCATTTTGTTGCACTTATTGAGATCTACAAAATGAAACCAAGATCATAAAGATTGGGTCATTATGTCACTTAGAAAAAAGTTATGGCGAGTTTCGCAAATGACCCTGTTGCGCCAATAAAATGGCGGAAATTAGCCTACCGCTTGTTGTCCTTTTCTTTGAGTCAAGTCGTGAATTCGAAAATTTTTGATATTGCATCTGCTATGTTAATGATCATTTATTGTTAAGGTTTCTCGAAATCTGGGACATCTAAATTTCTTAATTCTTTATTTTCAAAGCTATTTCTGTTATTTTTTTGGAATAAACAATATCAATTTAGCTTTTCGAATACGCTGATCACGAAAAACCACATTTCGTTTGCCAAAGAACTATGAAAACTCTTCAAACAGAGAAAATTTGGGGGGGGGGTGTCTCGAAATATGAGACGCACTGTATTGCGTTGTATTATAGACTTTTTTTTGTCTTTATGTTATATTCGATATCTTTATATTATATGCGATATCTTCTTTACTTTCTAGACACCAGAATTCTCTACAACATCACGCATTCCATCTAATTGTCAATGCGTTATGTGGGGAGCGTCAGCGCATCGGGTGGCTCCCGGTTCTCCCAAAATCAACAAGGAACAGGTGTGTTTTGACTGAATAACTTTTTTGTCGACCACGGTGTTGTCGAGTGTTCACCACCAAATGGATATTTTCACAGGTATTCCTAGCTAGGTTGTCTCCGCGAGCTTGTTACTAAACTTAATGAAAACATCTGTCGGTTCTTTTTTGCCGCTAGCAATTTAAGGTTTTTCGCGTTTTTTTAGCACCAGCCCATCTATTTTGACTATTTTGACTATCACTCGATGCTGAATTGAATTGCGCGTCGAATGATACCAAAACTAACTCAAAATGTGATAACCATGCAAAGTTATGAGGCAAAAGGTTAAGTCCCGCCCATAATGGGCGAGGTTTTTAGCCAACAACTTTGCATGGTTATAAAATTTTGAGTTCATTTTGGTATTATTCGACGCGTAGTTTTATTCCGCATCAAATGATAGTCAAAATAGTTAAAATCGATGGGTTGGTGCTCAGAAAAACACGAAAAAACTTAAACTGCCAACGGCAAAAAAAGGAGCGACAGATATTTTCATTACAGTTTAGTGGCAAGCTCCCGGAGTCAACCTAGCTAGGAATACCTGTGAAAATATCCATTTGGTGGTGAACCGTGGATAATTAGCGTTTAGAGTGCGTCTTTTTCGGGAAATTGATTTTTAGAAAGAAATCTTTAGAATAAAGCTGAAAATCCTTTTTGCTGTGCAATTAAGATGTTTGTTTTTATCAGCCAGAACTGCTGTTTTAAGAGGAAAGCTTTCAGGCCAGATTCTGGTGCATTTGATACACGCCCCGCCCCTTTGCCATTGGCAATCCAACTTTGAGCTCAAATTTCTTGGTTTTGGGCTGTCCAATTGAAATAGTTTTTGGATCAATCGACAGAGAAAGATTTGGCGCATCGAATGATACCAAAAACTATTGAAATTGAACAGCCTAACACCAAGATATTTGAGTTCAAAGTTAGATTGTCAATGGCAAAGAGGCGGAGCGCGTATTAAATGTCCCAGAATCGATTTGAGAACTTTAGAGTATTCTAAAAGTCACTAAAATTCTGTAGCTTGTTGACAAGGCAAAGGGGCGGGGCTTATCAGATGTCCTTTTATACGCACCCCGCCCCCTTCGCCATTGGCAATCCAACTTTGAGCTCAAATTTCTTGGTTTTGGGCTGTCCAATTGAAATAGTTTTTGTATCAATCGACAGAGAAAGATTTGGCGCATCGAATGATACTAAAGATATTTCAATTGAACAGCCCAACACCAAGATATTTGAGCTTAAATTTAGATTGCCAATGGCAAAAGAGACGGCGCGTATCAAATTACCGATAACCTTACTTGTCACTATACCGTATCTACAGACAGAAGTGCCATTTTATATCGCAAAATTCTAAAGCACAAAGCGAAATTGTTGATTTCCAGGTCCCTCAGGGCTCGCCCCCGGTCTCCAAGCCAATGTCTACTCCTCTTTCCCCTCTCAGCAGTACTCAGCTGCAACTCCAATTGCCCTCGGGCTTCGACCACGGTGAGTTCTGCTTTAAGCTCGAAAAATGTCAATAGTATACTCGAATCAGTTTCACGACAGTACGCTTGAATAAAATTTTCAATCGGCTCTCGCTAGCCACAAAAATTTCTCTAGTTTCACTCTCAATATCAAATTTTAATTTTGATTTAAAATTTTCTCCCAGAATTTCCAAATTAAAATGAATTTTTCCCGAAATTTTCCAGGATTTTTCGATTTTTGAAACATTTCCACCCCCACGAAAAGGAGAAAAAAGAGAAAATTTCGAATTCCGGCTTTTTTCGTGGAAATTTCTCAACTTCAAAAAAACAAAGCCACGCCGGAATTTGTAATCATTTCCTTGGCTTTGATTTTTTTCGAATTTTAAGAAAATACTTATAAATTCTGATTGAGATTCTTGTTTTTGTTTAGCTTTAAAATTCGAAGTCTTTGTCGAATTCTAGAAGCTGTGGCTTGTACAGGATTTTCGGTAGACTTGTATATGCTAGGTTTACAGTCGGAGCTTCCACACTTGTGCGTGGCATTGACTTAAAGGAAAGGTCTGAATTGGGATCGATTCTCATTGGGATTACCGTGAATATCTCACAAGGGAAAGGCAATAGGAGGCCAAATGAGATAAGCAGATAGATAGCTGATAGATAGCTGATAAATAGCTGATAGATAGCTGATGGATAGCTGCTATATAGCCAATTTGCTTACCATTCGACGCAGAATTTCACGCTGATTCCGAATCTGCTTTTCGTTTTTGCAAAATCGCTTTTTATAAAAAGTTATACGTGTTTCAAGTTTTTCGGTGAAAATTCGAAAATTTCGAGCCGAATAGGGAATTTGTTTGAGCAATTCAATGCACATTTGACCAGTTCGTGCGCTTGATAGCTTCAACAACCTAGTTGGAATTAGGCCAACTAGGTTGTTGGCCTAGATTGTTGAAGCCTTCCTTGTTAAAAAAATCTGATCGTCCTCAGACCCATCCAAATTATTCGTCATTTACGCACGTTTTAAACGACGTTTCGATGAGTTTCTTCGGGAAGACTTTTCCAGGCATCCACGACTTATTGTTGGTAAACATCAATTGTAGGTAAACATCAATCGAAGGTTCATCAAAACATTATCAAAATTTCCTGCTTTTGTCTTCTCATGATCTCCGTCTATCATCCATTTCTTGTAACGGATTTCTTGTAACGGAATAGCCTTGAATGGATGATTCCAGGAGACGTCAACCAGTTGAATGAACTTTGTCGTTCCTCGGGGTACCACAGCCGTATCCAACTTGAGTGACTTGAGCTTCTTCTTCTTGCTGATGTGGCAGCGAAATGAGTCCCAAACGAGAAGACGTAGCTAAGTAGCTAAGTAGATATTTTGCGTAAAAGAAATTGGAGAGGGCTTTTCTAATAGAGATGGCTGTTCTAATGATGGCCATTCTAATAGAGATGGCTGTTCTAGTAGAGATGGCTGTCCTAATAGAGATGGTCATTCTAATAGAGATGGCCATTCTAATAGAGATGGCCATTCTAATAGAGATGGCTGTTCTAGTAGAGATAGCCATTCCAATAGAGATAGCCATTCTAATGATGACCATTCTAATGATGGCCATTCTAATAGAGATGGCCATTCTAGCTAGCGTTCTATTTTTCAACCCAATCCAGAGGGTTGTTCTATCAGAAACGGCCGTGCTATTAGAGTTTTTACGGTAATTTTTGTTAAACTTAAAAATACTCGACTCATCAATGAAATTTGAGTCAGAGAAAGCTTTCACGAGGAAATTCGAAGCGTAGGCCTAAACTCGAAATTACGTAGGCCTAAACTCGAAAAAAACCTGCATCTGACAGAAAAGGCTTTGTTCATTTCTTTACCTTTCTTTGACTCTTCGAAATTCTTTTCTAAAAATCTCAAAAAGCACAATGGTTCACTAATTACTTTCAATTCTCGATGGATTCAGCTCTGATTTTTTTTCGAGAAAAAATTGCATTAGAAAAATTGCATTAGGAAGATTACTATTTAAGTAATTTGAAAATTGACAAAATTTTGCAAAATTTCTTTCATTCAGTTAAAAAATGGCTAATTTCCTTTTCTTTTTTCTCTTTTTCTTCTTCTTTTTCTCTTTTTTCTTCTTCTTTTCAATTCAATTCTTTGAATTTATTCTTCTTTAGAATATTTTTGACTCAAAAAGTTCACCTACCTTCCTTATTAGTCCTCCTCTTCGTTTCCGTTTTCACATTGAATCCATGTGTAATAAGGCCTCCATAAGTGCTAATGTCCGCCCAATTCTTGAATACGCTTCTTTGGTTACCAATTCTTTGGTTTGGTCTCCTTCCCTATTAAATCTTATTCAAAAAATAGAACGTGTTCAAAGGCACTTCACCAGAATTGCTCTTTATAAAATTAATTTTGACAAATTCTCCTCCTTTACTTATTCTGATAGATTGCAACTCTTTGGTCTTGAAATGTTACACCAACGCCGCCTTATCATCGATTGGATCAAAAAAAGAGCCGTATTGGAACCGTATTGGAACTAAAAAGGGACGGTATTGGAACCGTATTGAAACCGTATTGGAACCGTATTGGAACTAAAAAGGGACCGTATTGGAACCGTATTGGAACCGTATTGAAACCGTATTGGAACCGTATTGGAACCGTATTGGATCACAAAAAAGAACCGAATTGAAACCGTAGTGGAATGCTTTAAAATTGTTAAAGGCATTCATCCCGACCCCCTTTTTTCTGGTCTCTTTGAATTCGGCTCTCTACGGGGCTTCTGGAGGCCAGAAGGAGGCCAGAAAGAGGCCTTTTCTCATACGCCAACCTTCCGTTTCCTCTAAAAGCCTCCACAGTTTCTTTTTTAATCGAGTTATTAAATTCTGGAGCATTTTACCCCCTCATGTTCGTGATATTTCCACCTTGGCTAGATTTAAAGCCGCAATTTCGGCAATTGATTTGACTGCTCTGTGATTCTTTCTTGAGGTATCTATTTATCTTTTGGGTGGGTTTTGGGTGGTGTCCCGGGTAATTATTGTGATTTTGTTTTGTCGCTATTCAACTGAATAAAGCATATACATATATGTCGTAGCCGTTTACGAAATTCAGCCGCTAACGAATGAGGGTATTTCCGGGCATCCAATCAAAAAGTCACCCACATAAAAAATGTTCATAATACATATATTTTATAATAAATTTTTGAAATTAGCTCATTTGGTTCAGTAGAAAATTTTTTTTGAGCCCCCAAAGTTTAGGTTCAAAAATGGCTATAAAAATTTTTCTACTCAGCCAAAAAACTTGCCTAATAGCTCATTTTGTAGCCAATTTGATGTAGATTCTTAAAGTAAAGCTACATTGAACATTTGTTTTTCAAAGCTAGGAGAAAGAGGGCGAGGAACGACTACAGTTGAACTCGGTCGCTGTTTTCACATTTGAGAATTGCCCTGAATTTGTTCCTCGCCCTCTTTCTCCTACTTTCAATGAAAAATTGTTTTAGATGGCTTTACTTTAAGAAATTACATCAAATTGGCTACAAAATGAGCTATTAGGCAAGTTTTTTGGCTGAGTAGAAAATTTTTTATAGCCATTTTAGGGCATTTTTGAACCTAAACTTTGGGGGCTCAAAAAAAATTTTCTACTGAACCAAATGAGTTAATTTCAAAAATTTATTATAAAATATATGCATTATGAACATTTTTTATGTGGGTGACTTTTTGATTGGGTGCCCGGAAATACCCTCATTCGTTAGCGGCTGAATTTCGTAAACGGCTACGACATATATACCTTAAATTCTAACAAAATAATGTCATTTCTTATTTCATTTCTTATTTCATTTCTTTAAAATTCTCTCCCACATCTTCTCCAATTTGACTAATTGTGTTTAAAAAAAGAAAAAAGGCAATTTTTCCAATGTTTTCCAATGTTTTCCAATGTTCACACAGAATTTCAAGTGAGTAAAAAGAAAAAAAAGACTTGGGAAAGGTTTTTTTCACTTTAGAATTCCTTTTTTCATCCTTTTCTTTCAATTCTTTCATTCTTTTTCCCTTTTCCCATCCGATTCTCGTAATTTGTCACACCAATTTGCCATTTCCACGCACATCTCGCCTTTTATCTCGATTTTTTTTTTGAAAAAACACAATTCATTGCCTTTATTTGTTTGGAAAATTTAAGGATTTAACCAAAAATTTGAAAAAATCACTTCTAAAAGCACTGTTTCAGTAAAGTAAAGTCTTAGTTTTAGAAATTTTAGCTTTACTGAGGTTGATAAATGAGGTAATCAGGCTTTAAGCGGACATAACTTTGTCTAAAGATCATTTCTCTAGTCTAGAGATGTCTAGAGATGTCTAGAGATGTCTAGAGATGTCTAGAGTCTAGGTCGGATGGAGCGGATCGTGCTAGCCTGGTCGGTCGGACGGATTGGATCGGATCGGGCTAGCCCGATCGGTCGGACGGATTGGATCGAGCTAGCCAGATCGGTTGGACGGATCGGATCGGGCTAGCCAGATCGGTTGGACGGATCGGATCGGGCTACCCCAATCGGTCGGGCGGATCGGATCCGATAAAACCCGATCTGAACCATGTCTAGTGGATTACTGTCCGAAAAAGTCTTTTGGCATGAATTCGAATCCTTTAGCTGACAAACTTTTTACTTTTAATTTTTAAAAACAAATTTTGATTTTGAACAGAGTTTTTGTCACATTTTTCCTTAAATTTTCCTTATTTTAAAAATTTTAATACGAAATTTTTAAGCAATCCTACAATCGTTCACTTAAAAATCGAATTTCCTAACCACTGCATTTTAGCAAATAGTGAGAGGGATTGACTTTTTTTAATGGTAGCTTTCTATAAAAGATTGCAAAAAACCCGGATAGTAGACTAAAAAAGCAAAATCTCTACTCAAAAAATCCCAATTTGATTTTTCAAACTCTCTGAATTTTCCCTTTTTCACTTCCATCTCAGAATTCATCACCGCTTTGCGGAAGTTTTTTTCCAAAATAAGTTCTCAATTTGGAAATGATGTGAGCTTTTGAGAGAATTGAGGAATCACTAATGATTTTTGAAGATTTTTCTGATTTTTGATTACCCAAGCTCGCTAGACTCAAAAGTTTTCTGTTTTCTTTCTTGTCTTCTTTCTTGGTTACCGTAATCTTGTCTTTATTTTTATCCAATCTACCATAAAAACTCTAATAGAACGGCCTCCTATAGGAGTGTCGTGTACTTTCAAAATCATTTCAAAATGGCACGTTCTGTTTACTTTCAAACAAACGCTCATATCTCGGCACTAGTACGTTTGTTTCTGCGTGATTTAGTATCAAATTAAAGTAGAGAAAATCGGTAATTTTTTGAGATATAACACATATTTTTAGCATTAACCAGCGCTTAGAAAAAATGATTGAAAAATGATGAAAAATTCGCGCTTTTTTGTCACTTTTTCTTTTCCAGACGTTTCCGCGCCAAACGTCGGAAACTACCGTAACCCGACGCCATAAAAGGACTCCGCCACAAGAATTTTTCATTTTTTTTTGCTTCAGGCTCCTTTTTGCCAATTTTCAATCATTTTTTCTAAGCGCTAGTTAATGCTAAAAATATGTGTTATATCTCAAAAAATTACCCAAAGATTTAAACCGTGAAAACTCTAATAGAACGGCCGCTTATAAGAGAGTCGCGTAGTCTAAGTTTAACTCTCAAACAAACACTCATAACTCGACAGTCTTACGTTTGTTTCTACACCCTTTAGTATCAAATTAAAGTAGAGAAAATGGGTAATTTTTTGAGATATAACACATATTTTCAGCATTAACCAGCGCTTAGAAAAAAATTATTGAAAATCGGCAAAAAAGAGCCTGAAGCAAAAAAAATGAAAAATTCTTGTGGCGGGGTCCTTTTATGGCGTCGGGTTACGGTAGTTTCCGACGTTTGGCGCGGAAACGTCTGGAAAAGGAAAAAGTGACAAAAAAGCGCGAATTTTTCATCATTTTTTAATCATTTTGTTCTAAGCGCTGGTTAATGCTAAAAATATGTGTTATATCTCAAAAAATTACCCATTTTCTCTACTTTAATTTGATATCTAAGCGCGTAGAAACAAACGTACCAGTGCCAAGTTATAAGCGTTTGTTTGAGAGTTAAACTTTGACTATGCGACGCTCTTATAAGGGGCCGTTTTATTAGGGTTTTTACTTAATTTTTAGCTTTTTTACGTTCACTTTTTCGATTTTTTGATATTCTTTTTGAATTTTTACAGAATCAGACCAAGAAATGGATAGATTGAATAAAAAAGGTACAGAATTACGGTAGAAAGAGAAAGGGGACACGTTTTAGAAAAAAAACCAATCTTCTCTAGGTTTTAAATAGTAAAAATGCTTACTTTAACAGTAAAAAAAGCGCGCACTACATAGAAGTACGCTATGCTAAAGTAAGAGCTTTCTAGCTATTATCAATTTCTTTCTTCAATTTCTTTCTTCAATTTCCTATCAATTTCCATTTCACTCCACATTTCCGCTCAGCTATTATTTTATTATTTTAGCAAATTGTCAAATTGAATTCTGTGCTCAAAAATGCATACAAAATACTGCATTTTGGCTTAAAAAGCTGAAGATTTCGCTTAAAATTGAGCCAATTTCAATTTGACTCAACTTTTCCCCTAAGAAAATTTTCCTATTTCTTTCTTTTTCCATGTCATGCAATGTGCCTTTCCGGGATTCTTAGAGCTTTTTTTTCGAAAGCGAAAGCCTTAAAAGCTTTAAAATTCTATTGATTTGCTTAAAATTCCATAGATCTTTTAAGAGTTTTTGGAAAGTTTTTTAATTTTTTCAATTTTTTCAATTTTTTCAATTTTTAGTTCGTGGTCGTACACTTATCACACCGCGAGGGCGATGGAGGGTCGGAAAGGTGGTCATGATCGCATGCAAGGTAAAATTATTGATATTATTGTATTATCAAGGCTTAGGCTTGGGTGGGGTTCCCTTGTAAGCAGAGATACTCCAATTGATATTATTGATATTATTATTGATATTATTGATATTATTATTGATATTATTATTGATATTATTGATATTATTGTATTTATTATTGATATTTAGCTGAAAGTAAAAGCTTTCCTAGCTATTATCAATTACTTAATTCTTATAGAAAGGTATACTTTACCTTTCTACTACACTCAAATAGAATAGATACACTACTGGACAACGAAATATCATATTTGAAAAAAGATCGTCACTTTCGCGCGTCTGTAACTCCGTTTTCTTTACGTATTTCTAAACTATTAATGTTGCACATTTTGTGAAAGCTCTTTTCAAGGGCTTTCACAAAATGTATAATATTAATAGTTTAAAAATACGGTAAAAACAAGGGAGTTACAGACGCGCGAAAGTGACGATCGTTTTTCAAATATGATATTTCATTGTCCAGTACTCTAGATATTAGATACATGCATAAGAAATGCGGATTTCAACATTTTCATAAATTTCCAACGATAGAAACCTGATATCGATGAATATAACCTGATATACTATTTGAAAGTCGTAAATCTCTTCTACAAAATAGGCTAAAACGTGTTTCAATTGATCGGGGCTTAGGCTTAGGCTCAGGCTTAAGCTCAGGCTTAGGCTTGGACTTAGTGCGTAGGCTAGCGGCTAGCGCCTAGCACTAAGTCTATTTGGGTTTGGGCTGAACCCTGATTTTCTGGATCTCAGCCAGTTTAGGCTTAGGCTTAGGCTTGGACTTAGGCTTAAGCTCAGGCTTAGGCTTAGGCTTAGGCTTTGGCTTAGGCTTAGGCTTGGGTGGGGTTCCCTTGTAAGCAGAGATACTCCAAGAGCTTTCAACCAGATCTGTCAGACTTTTTAAGGTCTAAGGGCTACCTTCGCATCAAAGAAATAACTAGATGGTGCATTGGTAGTGGTAGTGTCTACAGTGGTAGTGTCTCCCATCTTTTGCATCTCAGTTCAATCCCCTTTTTACATCTTTATTCTAGTGTTTTGCGCAAAGTAAAGTTATATTTTGAGTAAACTTTGAGTATCTTTAGCTTCGTATGCATTCTTTGACACCTCTGAACATCGCGGCTAAGCTAAACGGACAATTTTGAATTTGTGGATCTGATGGTGATTCAAAGTATCAAGCTTCTCCTTTCCATTTTTCGTGACTCACCCGGAAATTCATCAAATTCCCATCCAAATCGCCTTTCATCTCTTAATTTTTCTTAAAACTCGTCGGTTGATCTTTCTCTTATTCAATTAAATATGCAAATTTCTCTCCGTACTTTATATTTCATCTCTGAAGAAAAGAGTCACGCGATATGCCTCTTTTTTCCCTTTAAATCTTATTTCTTTAAGAGAAAAGTCGTCATTGCTCTCAAATTTTCGTATTAGTTAAGAAATGAAGCTTTTTGCGTCAGTTATTTACAAATTATTTGATTACCAACGCTTAGTAAGGCTCTTGTTTTTTACTGAAGAGGTCCTGGAGAGATTGTTTTCCACGCAATCTAAGCCCCGCCCCTTTTTGTCAATAGACGCTGACAAGCGGACCAAAGTTTGCGGCACAGACGGACAAAAATCTCTTCTACTTTTTATTTAGTAGATTTTATTAGCTAAAATCCTGTAGCTTTGTTATTTTGTTTACTTTGTGCTTAAACGCAAGCTTTCTAGTGCACTGAATTCTTCATTTTTCTTGCAATACTGCAATAAAAGCACAAATTGCTTGCACTAGACAGAGTGCGTTTACAGACAGAGTGCGTTTTTAGCACAAAGAACTCAGCTTCCGATTTAGTTCTTTCTTCTCGTGTACTTTGTGCTTGAATCTATAAACGCAAGCTTTCTAGTTTACTCAATTTTATATAGAGAATTGAAGCCGTTAATCTTCGCTTCATTTTTCTACTAAAAACTTTACAATTGGAGTTATACAGCTCATTTTACAAGCTTTTGAATCAACTCTAGTCGACTTTTCTTTAGCAAAATGCTCTTTTTAATGGTTTTCATTATAAAAAAATGTCAGGAGACCATTTTCAACTATTTATTTAATATAAAAATACTATTTAATGCTATTAAATAATAATAATAATAATAATAATGTATATCGGGGTTATCGGTGATTGATTTTGCACACACATAAGCACAAGTTACACCTTAAGACCTAGGGAATATTCTATCGTTTTTGTGGATGGGACGATGTAGAAGAGACGATTTAGGAGGAGAAAACTACCGGCTTTATATGAACTTGAGCCTTAGACAAGTCTACCCATCCCTGGTTATCCCAATCCCGAGGGGAAGGGGTCTAGGGGGACCGATCTTGACAACCAGTTCACCATATGGGTGTCCTACATCTACAACTCGCCTACAGCACTCGGCTTAGGGAAGATATCCCTGACTCATCTGCTGGATTCGAACCAGAGACTAACCGAGCCCAACGTTGCTTAACTTGGTAGATTTGACGGGATACCGTGTTTCAACGTGGCAAGGCCGTAGTTCGTGGCAAGGCCGTAGATCTTGGCAAGGCCGGAGCTCCTGGTAAGGTCGTAGTTCGTGGCAAGGCCGTAGTTCGTGGCAAGGCCGTAGATCGTGGCAAGGCCGGAGCTCCTGGCAAGGTCGTAGTTCGTGGCAAGGCCGTAGTTAATAAAAACAATAATAACGGATTAATAACAATAATAACTTCAGCTCTTTTGATAAAATTTCATAAGCAAAACTTGCTCATTAAAAAGAGCATTTTGCTAAAGAAAAGTCGACTAGAGTTTATTCAAAAGCTTGTAAAATGAGTTGCATAACTCCAATTGTAAAGTTTTTAATAGAAAAATGAAGCCAAGATTAAGGGCTTCAATTCTCCAGCACTTGATACTTTTTGACTTGAGCACTTGATACTTTTTGAGCTATCTATTGTATTTTGAACCTGAGATCACTTGGCTTTGGTTTGAAAAGCTTAAAGCCGAAACTTTTCATCTATTTTTGCGATAATTTGCTTTAAAAAAAATCATTTCTTTTTCGATTTTTCTTTATTATAACATTTTTCTATAGATAGATATCTCAAAAATGGATTTCTCGAAGGAAATCCGCGAGCGCCGTTTGCGCTATTTTATTAGCTCAGTGAAAAAAGTGGGTTTTGAAAAATGTAAATTTGCAAAGTGCAAAATTTTCTCGGAAATTCTTGAGATAAGTAAACGTTGTTGATTTAGAAAAAGTTGAACGATCATTTTTGCAAAAGAAAATGTTAAATAACGATATTGCGTGCTAAAGAAAATGATAAACAACGATATTCAGTGATCAAGTGAATAGCTGAATAGCTTTAGAATGATTCATTCTTGGATAGCTGAATATCTTTAGAATGGTTCGCTATTGAATAGCTGAATAACTTGAGAATGATTGAATAGCTGAATATCTTTAGAATGATTGGTTATTGAATAGCTGAATATCTTTAGAATGGTTCGCTTTTGAATAGCTGAATATCTCTAGAATGATTCATTCTTGAATAGCTGAAGATCTTTAGAATGATTCATTCTTGAATAGCTGAATATATTTAGAATGATTGAATAGCTAAATAACTTTGGAATGGTTCATCCTTGAATAGCTGAATATCTTTAGAACCATTCATTCTGAATAGCTGATTATCTTTAGAATGATTCAGTATTGAATAGCTGAATATCTTCAGAATGATTGAATAGCTGATTATCTTTAGAATGATTGCTTAGAATGATTGCTAAATCCGGCAATGAGGTTGAGCAATGTTTATAGTACTAGTTCTTGCTAAATTTAAGGGAATTTATGTACCTTTCTTTCATCTTTAGATGCTGAATCTCTTGAGAATGTATGCTTATTGAATAGCTGAATATCTTTAGAATGATTCATTATTGAATAGCTGAATATCTTTAGAATGAATAACTTGAGAATGACTATTGAATAGCTGAATATCTTTAGAAAAACTGCCTAGCGAATCTTTAGAGTCTAGAGAAAAATCGGGAACGATTAAAAATGTTTGAATACATCGGTTGACAAGAGTAGCTTCTATTTTATGAAATTGATTGCCGAAAAATGCCGAAAATGCCGAAAAAAGCCGAAAAAAGCCGAAAAAAGCCAAAAATATGCCAAAATACTCGATTAAGTTGAATTCTTTATCAAGTTTTTTATCTTTTCAGGTGTTTTCGTTGGTGTCACACAAATGGGAAACGCGCCCACAGAGCTCGTCAAGCGAGGAGTCCCTAGAGGACCACGAGAGTCGACACAACGACAACAGCAACCATCCACACAATCTACAGGTAAAAAAAAAGTTTCGTTTAATCATTTAAACATTTTACCGGTTGCTTTACCAAATTGCTTTGCCAATTTGCATTAATCTTGAAAGTTAACATATGAAAATCTACATAAAACTTTATTTTCCTTGATTTTTGCCTTCGATCGGCTTTTTTAATGAAAAAAATAGTTGAATTGATGCATTTTTTGATTATAAATGGAAGTAGAAACAAAAGAAACACAAAAGAAACGAAGAACAAAAGAAACGTTCACAGATTTGAACTCAAAAGTACATCAGGAGATAAACAAACAAGTACAAACAAACGTCAAAACAAATATTTATTTATGATCAGTATTTATGATTTTGTCTCAAAAGTTCTTCGCAAATTGAACGGTCTATCGGTCCATTGTTGGTTCAATCCATCAATCTCTACATCGATCTCTTTCCAGGTGTCGATAGCCATGCCCAGTGTATCGCAATATCAGCAATCCTCCACGAGACGGTTTGTTCCTTTCTTTCTTTTCCTTTCTTTTCTACTCGTAGAAAGATCGCAGTAGAATATGTTTAATGCAATTCTTGTCTAAGGATGTTTCAATTAAACCCTAGGGTTTCTAGGTGAGCAGAGATCCTATCAGGCCTGTCTGCCCAGGCCATTGAAGTCAACTCAGATCAGGCCCTAGTCTCCCCAGGCCCTTGAAGTCAACTCAGATCAGGCCCTAGTCTCCCCAGGCCCTTGAAGTCAGGTCAGATCAGGCCCTAGTCTCCCCAGGCCCTTGAAGTCAACTCAGATCAGGCCCTAGTCTCCCCAGGCCCTTGAAGTCAGGTCAGATCAGGCCCTAGTCTCCCCAGGCCCTTGAAGTCAACTCAGATCAGGCCCTAGTCTCCCCAGGCCCTTGAAGTCAGGTCAGATCAGGCCCTAGTCTCCCCAGGCCCTTGAAGTCAACTCAGATCAGGCCCTAGTCCGACCAGGTGTTCGTTGCAATTGAACGGTTTGGTTTCTAACTAAACTGTTTCCAGATTGGCATTTGGCGGCGCGGAAACGGACAGTGACGATCGTCTGAAAAAGCAATTGGATTTCTACAAAAATACGACATTGACGAATTTGAGTAAGGTTGGGGTTTTAGTTAATTTTTTCTGTCAAAACTACCGTAATCAACCGTAATCTATTGTAATCTATCGTAATCAACCGTAATCTATCGTAATTGTCTCGAATTTCTATCAAATCTATTCACTTTTTTGTTGGATTCTTTGCGGGATATTGAAAGATATAAAAAGAAATAGAAAGTGAAAAGAGATTAGTTTAAAAAAAGACATAGGATTACGGTAGAAAGAGAAAAGAGAGACGTTTTTAGGACACGGATTCTTTAAATCCTTTAAATCCTTTAAATCCTTTAAATTCTTTAAATTCTTTAAAACGATTTCCACAAAGTCTTAAATTTTCAGCTTTTCTGTGCAATCGTTCTTTTGACAGCGTTTTTCCTCGTCATGTCTCGCTCCATCAACTTCGATGGTCACTTTTTCGGTTTAGGGCAGAAAAATCATGATGTTGTCCCATTAAATATTACCGCTTTTTACGCGCAAAATGAAAAATCAAGATAGTTTGATTGATTTTTGATAGAAAACTGTGTTTTAGATTAATTTACACTTTTCTTGCTGGCTTTTCAAGCCTTTCGAAATGAGCTTTTTGGCTTTTTGATGTGCTTTGTATTTGATTGTACTTTTGACTGACTAGCGCCTAGAATGACGGTGCGGAGCGTCGCGTAGTCTAACTTTAAACGCATTTTTCTCACCACCCATTTATGCTACAGTGTGCGCTTATGTATCAAATGAAAGCTGAGATTCAGGGCTATTTTTTGATACCAAACATGCATTTTTAGAAATTATGAGCGCTTAGAAAAAAATGATTTAGTCAAAAATTTTTTGCGACTACGCGACTGTACCCCCGTACAGTCGCGGAGGGCGCTACTATTAGAGGTATTACGGTAGGAAACTCTTTCAACTTATCACCGATTTTTGAAACCGCATCTAGCTACAAAGAAGAACTCCAAGAATCTAAGAAATCTAAGAATTTTAGAATTTTAGAATTTTGTATATACAATTTTGAGAAAAATGGCAAAATTTCGGCAAATTTTTGGGCGAACCGCGACCTTTAAGAGGGCGCCAAGAGGCGAGGGAAACAAAGCGACGGTAGCCTAGGGGATAGTGAGCTGGCCTACAAAGCTATTCCGGTTTCGTTGCAAGTGGTTCGATTCCGTTTCCATCCAAATTTTCTTTGCTTTTTTGCGAAGCCATTTTTGAGGTTCAAAAAGTGTCTTAAAAGATGAATTTCACCTATAATACTTTTTAAAAAAACGTCTGAACTGAATTCTGAAGGCATGAAGGATTCTTGGAGTTCTTCTTTGTAGCTAGATGCGGTTTCAAAAATCGGTGATAAGTTGAAAGAGTTCCCTACCGTAATACCTCTAATAGTAGCGCCCTCCGCGACTGTACGGGGGTACAGTCGCGTAGTCGCAAAAAATTTTTTGACTAAATCATTTTTTTCTAAGCGCTCATAATTTCTAAAAATGTTTGGTATCAAAAAATAGCCCTGAATCTCAGCTTTCATTTGATACATAAGCGCACACTGTAGCATAAACGGGTGGTGAGAAAAATGCGTTTAAAGTTAGACTACGCGACGCTCCGCACCGTCATTCTAGGGAGGCGCCACAGTGAGTTCTGCATTTTTCTCGATTTTTCTTTGCCCGAAACGACTTGTTATCACGAGAATTATTCAAAAATGAAGAATTCAGTGCACCAGAGTCTTTGCGTTTACAATTAAAGCACAAAATACATCAAATCTTTGCATAAACTTTTCAAATTTCGGACGAAAATTCAGTACTTTTCACTACTGAGAACGATTTAAAGTTCACTTTCCCCATTGAAAATCCTTTTCTTGTAGTTCTTTTGAGAAAATCTTTCGCTTTTGATGATTTTCTCTTGATGATTTTGATGATTTTGATGATTTTGATGATTTTCTCTTTCTCTTCATTTTCTTCTCGAAATCTTTGTTCTAATTTTAATCTCTAAACAAATTTCTACTGGTATTTGCTTTGAAAAAAACATTGTGCCCCTTTAAAATTTGTGTATTTGAATGGAATAAAGATTAACTTTATGTGTAAAAAATGTTTTGTTTGTTTTTTTTACAGTATACAGTAAACTGGTTGTAAAATTTGTTGTTTACAGTTGTTTACAGTTGTTTACAGTTGTTCACAGTTGTTTAAAATCAAAAAAAAGCAGCAAATCAAAAAAAGCAGCAAAATGTATACCAAATCAGTGTGCCAGAAGGGAAATGTTTAGCTTTTTGACACGCAAAGTAGACAAGCAAACGAGTTCTCGCCTGGTCCAGGCCTGGTCCAGGCCAGGTCCAGTTTAGGCCTGGACCAGGCCAGGCCCTAGCTTCAGTTTGTAATAAGGGAAGTTCAGGCTAGAATTAGGTTCGAAATCAGGCCCATGTTTAAAGACCAGTGACTGAGCTAGACCCAGGCTAGGACTAGCTAGTTTTCCAGGTAGTGCTTTGAGCTTAAAGCCGTAAACATACCCCTTCTAGTGCAATTCTCAAGTTTAATTTCGATTTTTGGATCTTCTGAACCACTTGAATCGCTTGTAAATCGATTTTTGGATCTTCTGAATCACTTGAATCGCTTTTAAATCGATTTTTGGATCTTCTGAACCACTTGAATCGCTTTTAAAATTCATTTCCAGAGTTAAACAAACAAAAAAAGCAAACAGTTTTATGTTTTTCAAACAAAAGAAACGTTTTTTGATCAAGAATTCTAAAAATAACGATTTTAACAACAATCCAACTGATTGTGGCGAGAAAATGACATGAGCCAAAGACGATTCGACGCCGAATTTCACGCTGAATCCGAATCTGCTTTCCGTTTTCGCTATGGAGCACTCTGTCAAAAGTTATACGCGTTTAAAGTTTTGTGAGGAGTTTCAAAAATCAAAAATAGACCTTAAAATGTTTCAAAATCAGTCCCCCTCGAACTCGAACCTCGAACCGACTCGAACCAGAGACTCAGCGGACTCGAACTGCCACTCGCCTTCAATCCTAACCCACTGCCACTCGGCCACCACTGCCTTGTGAGCCCTCTGCGAAAACTGGTTATAAACTTGGTGATTTTGAATCCGATACAAAACTTTGAGGGCGTATAGCTTTTGATAGAGTGTTATTTAGCAAAAACGGAAAGCAGATTCGGATTGAGCGTGAAATTCTGCGTCGAATCGTCTTTTGCTCATTTCATTTTCTCGCCAAAACCCAATTGAAATTCCTTTCTAAATTCAACAATTTCCATTTAGTCAAAACTTTGGTCTTGAATCGATTGAGTTCCACAAAATTGTGACTAATCAGCAGATTCGGATCGGGCCTATGACTGTTCATCAGTCCCGCGTAGGCCAGCTATCCATTTAAAGCCATTTAAACCTAAAAAGCAACAAAAAGCCAGCTGACGGATTCGAACCCGGCAGGCCTTTCCTTGTATTCTAACCTATTACCACTTGGCCACCCTGCACTTCTTCAGCAACAGAAGTCAGGTTTTAAGGTTTATGTTTGATTTTTGGGATCTTTACGGTTATTGGGAGGGTCGAGCGATTATCGGAGTGGCCGAGTTTTTGGCCAACTTGCAGCTCATTTTTAAGCACCTTAAACTTGTCAGATCAGGAAGTATTAATAAGATTTAGATAGCTTAGAACGTCAACTTTCAGAGACTATTTGTTTCATCCAAAGTTATTAACAAAAAGCTATCTAAAATCGAGATGCAAGTCGGGCAAAAAAACTCGATCGCCTCCGATAATCGCTGGACCCCCGATAGCCGTAAAGATCCGAAACTCCTTACTTTGAGGGATTATAGTTTTGAGGGCTTATAACTTTAAGGGCTTATAACTTTGAGGGCTTATAACTTTGAGGGCTTATAGTTTTGAGGGATTATAACTTTAAGGGCTTATAACTTTGAAGGCTTATAACTTTGAAGGCTTATAACTTTTGACAGAGTGCTCCATAGCCAAAACGGAAAGCAGATTCGGATTCAGCGTGAAATTCTGCGTCGAATCGTCTTGCCGTCTTGCCAAAACTCAATTGAAATTTCTTTCTAAATTCAACAATTTCCATTTAGTCAAAACTTTGGTCTTGAATCGATTGAGTTCCACAAAATTGTGACTAATTGATTCGATTAGTCGATTTTCTGATGAAAATACACGAAAAAGTGGGTAATTGAGTGAAAAGGGAAAGAAAGAAAATCAGATTTTCGCTGTTGTTGGTTACTTGGGCAACAATGGTAATAGGAAAGTGGCTAAAAAGTGGAAGGGGAAATTGGATTGGAGAAGAGAGAGATTTTGAAGGAGGAGGAAAGGGGGGAAGACTGTATTTTGGGGTACAGAGCCAAATGGGCACCCGCAATCATCAACTAATGAGCCATCTTCCTTTTCGATCACTTTATCACTTAGGAATCTGTGCTTTCATCGATTTTCTTTCTCAAATTTCTTCATTTGTTTCCTTGATTTGTTCTTTTTAAGTTTACTTTATGTTTAGATTAGATTATATAGATTAGATTTTGTACTATAAACTTTTGATGCAATTGATTCGCCTTTTTTTGGGTTTACTTTAGTCTTTTAACTTATTTGTTAGCTTTTAACTTACTTGTTAACTTTTAATTGTGTTAACTGTGTTAACTTTTAACTTCTGCGCTGTCCTACTTGATTCTAGTGCACTCAAAGCATTAAAGAAGCAGAATTTGATGCAATTTGATGCAATTTGATGCAATTCTGCTTCTTTAATGCTTTGAGTGCACTAGAATCAAGTAGGACAGCGCAGAAGTTAAAAGTTAACAAGTAAGTTAAAAGACTAAAGTAAACCCAAAATAGTGCGAGGGCGCTTGTCTCACAGTAGAGGGCGCAGTGCGAGGGCGCTTGTCTCACAATAGAGGGCGCAGTGCGAGGGCGCTTGTCTCACAATAGAGGGCGCAGTGCGAGGGCGCTTGTCTCACAGTAGAGGGCGCAGTGCGAGGGCGCTTGTCTCACAATAGAGGGCGCAGTGCGAGGGCGCTTGTCTCACAATAGAGGGCGCAGTGCGAGGGCGCTTGTCTCACAATAGAGGGCGCAGTGCGAGGGCGCTTGTCTCACAATAGAGGGCGCTTGTCTCACAATAGAGGGCGCAGTGCGAGGGCGCTTGTCTCACAATAGAGGGCGCTTGTCTCACAATAGAGGGCGCAGTGTGAGGGCGCTTGTCTCACAATAGAGGGCGCTTGTCTCACAATAGAGGGCGCTTGTCTCACAATAGAGGGCGCAGTGCGAGGGCGCTTGTCTCACAGTAGAGGGCGCAGTGCGAGGGCGCTTGTCTCACAGTAGAGGGCGCAGTGCGAGGGCGCTTGTCTCACAGTAGAGGGCGCAGTGCGAGGGCGCTTGTCTCACAGTAGACGTCGTCTCGTCTCACGCTCGTCTCACGTCTCACAGTAGGAATTCAGTGCACCAGAAAGCGTGCGTTTCCAAAAATTGAGCTCAAAATACGCGCAAATTTCTTATTTACCCATTAAAAAACCACAAAATGTCTGAATCGCATAAAAATATTCAATTGGATGCCGGCGATCGAATCACTTTTCATTTTCATTTTCATTTTCTCCGAACATTTTTTATACGTTTATTTTAAGCGTAAAATTGTATTTTCCTGTAAAATCTCTGCTTTTCGGAGTTTTTATTTGCAAAAAAAGTACTAATATACTAATATTTCTTGATAATTTTTACTTTTTAACTTTTACCACTATCTAACTACTTTTCGCAACAAATCATGGCTTTTCTCATAGTTGAGAAAGATTTGTAGCCGACTCTTTTTCATAGAAAAATTTCCCTGAAAACTAGAAATGTAGGTAAGAAAAGGTAAAAAAGGTAAAAAAGGTGAAAAATTGATTTTTTTATTGTAAATTCTTATTTTATACTTTCTTTTTGGGTACTTTGAGGTTAAATCTTGTAAACGCAGGCTTTCTGGTGAGGAAAATTGGGCAGAGATTGGAAGAGATTGGAAGGGATTTGCAGAGATTGGAAGAGATTGGCAGAGATTGAAAAATCTGGCAGAGGCCGAGATCGGGATCGAATTTTCGATCGATATGTCAAACTTTCGATTGACAGTCTGACAGATTGGCAGATTGGCAGATTGGCAGGCAGTCAGGTAGATTGGCAGACAGTCAGGCAGATTGGCAGACAGTCAGGTAGATTGGCAGACAGTCAGGTAGATTGGCAGACAGTCAGGCAGATTGGCAGACAGTCAGGCAGATTGGCAGACAGTCAGGCAGATTGGCAGACAGTCAGGTAGATTGGCAGACAGTCTGACAGATTGGCAGATTGGTAGACAGTCAGGCAGATTGGCAACACTGCTAACCACTCGGCTATTGGGGCAATCCGTTTGGAGAAGAAAAGGGATGCTTAAGTCGACTTTCCTTCTATTTTTTCGTGTATCTTTCGTGCATCTTTCGTGTATTTTTTTGTTCATCTGTAAACGCAAATCTTCTGGTGCATTGAAAGCTGCACTTTCTTAAAGAAATTGCTTATAGCAATTGCTTAAAGCATTGCTTATACATTGCTTGTGCAATAAAAACTTGAGTGCACTGGAAAGGGTGCTTTTACAAACTTTTTGAGCACAAAGTACATTTCATGAAAGATCTCTAGTGTCACTCAGCCAATCAATTTCTTTTTGATTCGATTCCCAGGTGTCCCAGGTGGGACTTTTTCCTCATTTTTTTTCCTTTTCCAATGTGACGATTGCCTAGACTTAATTATCGTTTTTAGAACTCAAATTTTGCAAATCTCAAATCGTGTCTTCATTTTCTTTTCTCAACGGCGACCTTTCCAATTTTACGAAATTTTCTCCGTGGATAATTAGCGTTTAGAGTGCGTCTTTTTCGGGAAATTGATTTTTAGAAAGAAATCTTTAGAATAAAGTTGAAAAACCTTTTTTTCTGTGCAAGTAAGATGCTTGTTTTTATCGGCTAGGACTGCTGTTTCAAGAGGAAAGCTTTCAGGCCAGATTTTGGGACATTTGATACGCGCGCCCGCCCCTTTGCCATTGGCAATCCAGCTTTGAGCTCAAATTTCTTGGTGTTGGGCTGTCCAATTGAAATAGTTTTTGTATCAATCGACAGAGAAAGACTTGGCGCATCGAATGATACTAAAAATATTTCAGTTAAACAGCCCAACAGCTAGATAGTTAAGCTCAAAGTTGGGTTGGCAAAAGGGGCGGGGCCAGGAAGACCTTTTATACGCGTCCCGCCCCCTTTGCCATTGGCAATTTAACTTTGAGCTCAAATATCTTGGTGTTGGTCTGGCCACTTTGGATATTCTTGGCATCATTGGATGCGCCAAGTCTTTCTCTGTCAGTTGAGACAAAAACTATTTAAATTGGACCTTTCCAATTTTACGAAATTCTCGCCGTGGATAATTAGCGTTTAGAGTGCGTCTCTTTTGGGAAATTGATTTTTAGAAAGAAATCTTTAGAATAAAGCTGAAAAACCTTTTTTTCTGTGCAAGTAAGATGTTTGTTTTTATCAGCCAGAACTGCTGCTTCAAGAGGAAAGCTTTCAGGCCAGATTCTGGGACATTTGATACGCGCGCCCGCCCCTTTGCCATTGGCAATCTAACTTTGAGCTCAAATATTTGGTATATGGCTGACGAATTTAGATATTCTTGATATCATTAGATGCGCCAAGTCTTTCTCTGTCGATTGGTACAAAAACTATTTAAATTGGACAGCCCAACACCAAGATATTTGAGCTCAAAGTTGGATTGCCAATGACAAAGGGGGCTGGGCGCGTATAAAAGGTTGGACGATCGATTAATCGATTAATCGAGGAAAAAAATCATTCATTTAAATTTTATTCGAGTAATTCAACTCACTCGCAAGATTGTCGGATTGATTTAAAAACAAAAGCGTCTTTTAAACTTTCTTTTAAGCTGTCTAATTGGGGTAGGCTAATTTCCGAAATTTTTTTTTTTGCGCAACAGGGTCATTTGCGCAATCTAGATCTCAATAAGTACAACAAAATGAAACCAAAATCATAAAGATTGACCCACTTAGAAAAAAAAGTTATGGCGAGTTGCGCAAATGACCCTGTTGCGCAAAAAAAATTGCGGAAATTACCCTACCCCGTCTAATTCCAATCCCATCGCGGCCATTGAGCATTTTGAAGTTAGAAATTTTTAATAGCCAAATTTTTTTTGAAAACCCCATCTGCTCGAGAATTTCCACCCCGAAACAGCTGCTTTTTGGTCCAGTTTTTTTGCGAAAATTCGACACTCATTTGCCTGTTCTCGAATCAATATTGTGTTTTTGATATTTTTGATGTTTTTTATATTCCTGGTGTTTTTGATATCAATATCTAAATTGTTTTTTTTAGATTCAAAAACATTTCGACAAGATCAGCCAAACTGGAAGGGCGATGAACCAATGGGCGCCGTTTGTGCCGCTCCTGAGGTTAAGGTGGGTAAAGTGGAGGAAGATTTGTGTACTTTGTGTTCATTATTTATGAGGGACCAGTAGATTGCTAGGTTTAGAGCTCATTTTGTACATGTTTAATGCTAATAAAGGAAACACACTTATCAATACGCTCAACGTTCGCAAATTTAAGTTACTTTTTCTCAAAATTATTGCATTTTGCGCTGTTGCTTTTTGAGAGTGCTAAGCGACCTGTGAACTCAAAAGTGTCCCCATAAATATTGAACACCCTGTACTTTGTGTTCAATGCTGTAAATGCATTCTTTCTGGAGCACTGGATTCTTCAGTTTTCTCTATAACAAGGCGGTTTTTGCAAGAAAATGATTGAGCATTTTTTGATCAAGGTCTCGCATCACTAGTGACCTTGCATTTCCATTAGAGCACAAAGTATACTTGTTAATAGTACAGTATTATTGTTTAATGGTTGTCTTGTTCCCAGGGGGATATTTGTGCGCAATCCAGTGAGGAAAACAGGATTAGAGCGCCAGAAAGGGTGTGTTTTACAGGTTTGTGCTCACATGTAAGCGCACTAAATTCTTCGTTTTCTAGCGGCTTCATCTTTCTTGTCTTCTCTTTCTCTTGGCCTGTCCTGGACCCGGGTCCACCAAACTATTTACAATCTAGCAATGCCATCTAGCTGAACGGATTTAGCGGTTTAGCATTTGCCAATCTTGCAAAATCGATTTAGCATTTAGCAACTTGGCTAAGTGCTAAATTTAGCCAAATTGAGTTTTGTTTCTTGTAGACTCAATATTCTGATGCCACCACATAAAGCTAACATATTCAGTCAGCAAAAAAAAAGCGGGACTTGACTAGTTTTTTTCAAAAAAAATTTTTGCGAAATTAGGAGGTGGCTACTTTACGCCAATTTGTAGCGTAACCACCATAACTTTCTTCTAAGTGGGCTAATCTTTGATGTCATTTTGTAGATCTTAACAAGTGTAACAAAATGACACCAAAATCATAAAGATTAGCCGACTTAGAAGAAAGTTATGGCGAGTTGCGCAAAAATTTGGCGGAAAGTAGCCACCCCCCGAAATGTGCTGATTTTTTGCACCCAGGGGTTTTTGACTATGCTGAATCGATTGGTGATGGTCTTGCACAACATTTCGCAACTTTTAATAACATTCAAGACTAATTGCAGATGAAACTAGCGTTATTGGGAAAACGCTCGTTGTCTCATGTCCTCGTTGGTAACTGGTTGTTATTTTTGTTGCTATTTGTTATAAACGTTGTTAAAAGTTGCGAAACGTTGTGTAAAACCATTGCCAAACGATTCGGCATAGTCAAAAACCCCTGGGTGCAAAAAAATCAGGTCATTTGACGAAAAAAATTCCCTCCGCCCACTACTATAGCACCAGCACTACTATAGCACTTAAGCAAACATCGTTTGGCGCTAAATTTAGCAAAATTTTGCTAAATGCGTTGGTGGGCCCGTTGAATTTTGCAAAACGAAAGTTTGCTAAATTTAGCAGTTGATAGACCCGGGCCCTGACCTATCCAACAGACCAATTCTATGCCTATTTTGGGTGTGATCTATGCCTGGGGATTTTTGGGTGTGAGTATTAATAAGTATCCAACGGAAAAATGCCTTATCTTCACTCTTGGACAATTTCACTACAATTTTTTGTCTTTGATTTTAATCGTTATAAAACGAAATTCGGCGTCAATTTATATCAAAATCGAAAAAGATCGGAGTGAAATTGACGGAGGAATGCCATTTTTCCGTTGCACTTCTATTGACGTTCTCCTATTGACGAAATTCCTAGGTCTAATGCCTAGTATACAGTCTAAAGAATCAAAAATATCTTAATCGTAGAAAACTTTCAGGAACAAATCTCAATGAATCGCAAAATCGAGAAAATGATGCGGAAACAGCAGGAGGACGAGTTGGGAAATCAGAAATTGCTGCTTTTAGGTGGGCAATATTGTTTTTTTTTTTTAAAACAAATTATTTAGGCACTGGCGAATGCGGGAAGAGCACGATTCTGAAACAAATGCAGTGAGTTTAGATAAAAGAAAAGTTCAATTTAAAGCTAATTCAGAATTTTGCACAGTAATGGCGCCACCGAGAAGGAATTGATGGATAAACGGCCGCTCGTCTATAGTAATCTCGTCACCGGTATGCAAATTTCGTAACTTTCGTTGGCGTTTGTTGTACTTTAGGCTTAAATCTGTAAACGCACACTTTCTGGTGCACTGAAATCTTCATTTTTGGCTTCGTGCCTTCGAAAAATGGCTTTGTGGCTCGAGAAAAACGAAGAATTCAGTGCACGAAAAAGGGTGCATTTATAGATTTAAGCGTAAAGTAAATCTCAAACTTTCGCTTTCAAAAGCAAAAGTTTTTTTTGCCTAAACCGAAATCTAATCTCTAAAAATTGATAGTGCTTTTAGGAATGGCGACGATCATTCGCGCGCTCGACAAATTCATCTACCAGTTGAGCGATCAGGATCGAGAGGTGATCTATAGAAAAATATTAAAGAAACAAAAATCTTGATAATCAAAATTTTTCTGAAAACTAATTATTCGGTAAAAAACCAAAAAGCTTCCAAATCTGACTTATGGCCTAAACTGGTTCAAAAATGTATTGATTTGGCCGGAAACATTTGAAAGCTTTTTGGTTTTTTACTTGTCTGCCTTTTTGATGTGTTTTCTACCAGGTTTTTTTAGTCTGACTTTGTAGTTTTTAGTTTTTCGGTTTCAGATGGACGCTCGTCGTGTGCTCTCGCTGGCCGAATCGGAGAAACTTCTGCTCGATTTGACACCCGATATGATGGACACATTAAAAGTACCGTATTCTGAAAAGTACAATAGTAGTATCAGAAATCCGTAGTATCAGAAATTTATCGAATAAAATTGTGTAAATTTAGAACCTCTGGGCCGATCAAGCTATTCAAAGGGCTTTCGCTCGCCGCTCCGAATTTCAAGTGGGCGACTCGTTGAAATAGTGAGTTGAAGGATTTTTATGGATTTTAGGAAAAAAAAAATTGAGATTTTTATCTATAGATAAGTTTTATTTGATATATTTTAATGCCTAGGTAATTTTTATTTTAGTTTTATGGACGATTTGGAGCGAATAGCTTCTCCATCGTATCGGCCCACGAAAGAGGACTATTTGCATATTCGAGTGCCGACAACGGGGGTCGTTCAAGTGAATTTCCCCATCAAACAGTGCATTTTTCGGTGAGTATCAAAAAAACTTATACTTTGAGTTTAAATCTGTAAAAAAATCACTCCTTCTGGTGCACTGAATCTGGAGTACTGTGACAGTGCTATGCCACATTGCAAATGTGACAGTAGACTAATGCTAGACCCATGTAGATACTGTAAAATCTAGCTAGGCGTTTTTTATACAGTATCCCTGACATTCCGGGGTACTGTAGAGGGAATCTGGTTTTGGTTTTGGTTCAATTTTGGTTCGAATCAAATCAAACCGGTTCTGGATTTGTGATCGGGAGACAAAACAGAAATCCTGAGAGAATCGAGGACACTCAACTTCTCTGTTGAGTCTCTGTTCAACTTGAATTTTTTCTCCCGATTTAGCCACTGTTTAAGTAGGGCAAATGGTTTCACAAAATGCAGAATTTGTAGCAAAAATGCAGCTAAATTTAATAAAGTAAAGTGAGGAATGGCAAAGAAACATTTCCGGAGAGGGAATTGAACCTTCAACCTTGTTTAAGCCTTCTGCTTTCCTGACAGATGCTCTAACCACTGAGCTATCCGGTGCTCTAAACATTGAGCTATTCAAGGCCTTTTAGATAGGGATTTTATTTTGCATTGTAGATGGTACAGAAAGGCGATATTGCGCTGTAAATTTGTACCCGAGAGCTTTCGGGGTCGGCGAATCGATTGGAGGGAGATATTCATTTTATTGAATCGACCAAATATCGGGATCACTATATCTCTTTCCTATCCCTGTCTTTCCCATCGAAAATTTAAAAATGATAAAAGAAGAAAAACACTAGAGGGATTGAACCCTCGGCCTTACGATTCATTCGATTCGAAATTTCGGACCGAATCGATTCGATAAAAAGTCAGACCGAAAACCAGGTCTACTGTAGAGTACTTGACGTACTATAGCTTTTCAGGGGTACGCGGGAATACTATAATTATTATGATATTATGCTTACGATTATGATTATTTACAGAGTATTCGACGTGGGCGGGCAACGATCGGAGCGACGAAAATGGATTCACCATTTCGATGATGTCAACGCGGTGATCTATATTTGTGCGGTCAATGAGTACGATCAAATGTTGATGGAGGATAATCGAACGGTTTGTGGGAAATAGAAAATTCTATTCTAAAAATTCTAAAAGGCACCTATTTTCGAAAATATCGTAATCAACCAATTTTCATTCAACCGGCCCAATTTTGCTATCATTTACTAGCTATGAGACTTCTGATTGCTCATCTAATGATACCAAAATTGAGCTGATCAAATTCCTCTTGACAAATAGAAACAAATGTGAGGAATTTCTCGACTTTAAGGTGATTTGAGAAGCTCAAGGAAAGGCCAACTATGAGGCCAACTATGAGGCCAACTATGAGGCCAACTAGTTTGGTTTGGTTTGGCCAACTAGGCCAACTAGTGTACTTTGTGCTCTCGTGTAAAAACATCACTAGTGCATTGAGATTCCAATTTTCTCATAATAAACAGTGGATTAGCGCGAAAAATGGGGCCCAGCGGGGATCCAGTGCGCTAGAAGCGATGTGTTTACAGATTTGAGCACAAAGAACACCTCAACGATTGTATTTTCGTTTCAGAATCGTATGCAAGAGTCGATGGATCTCTTCGAAACGATTTGCAATAGTCGATGGTTTAAGCAGGTTATTTGATGAGTTCTTAAGTAATAGAAATTCAATTTTAGTCATCAATGATCTTGTTTTTGAATAAAAAGGATCTATTTCGAGAGAAAATTCACCTTGTGCCATTGGGACAATATTTTCGTGAGTATCGAGGTAAGCAAAAGATTTGACTTTTTCTAAACCATGTCCTCTTTCTCTTTCTACCGTAATCTTGTCTTTTTCTTTATCCAATCTATCCACTTTTTCTATTTTTTGATATCCTTTATGAAGCTTTACCTTTATGAAGCTAGAATCAAGCAAAAAGTGAAAAAAAAATTAGACAAGGCTACGGCAGAGAGGGAAGGACAAGAGAATAAGGACATTTTTTAAGAAATGGATTACTACTATGACTGTAACTATGAAATCTAGGTGCAAATACGTATGAAGATGCGATGTCATTTCTCGCTGAGACTTTCAAAGCGATGAACGAGTATCGGAGGCATCGAAAGTTGTATGTGCACGAGACTTGTGCAACCGACACGACACAGGTTTCTTTTCATCATCGTAATATTTCATCGATCATCGTAATATTTCTAACAGAGTCGTTTTTAAAAGTGTTGAGCGCATCAGGAAGTGGGTGGCTTACCGTATTTCCCCTAAGCTTTGCCTAAATTCCTTGAAATCTCGAGAACCGCGTATCAGAACCTATCGATGTGGGGTCGAAAAATGTAGCTGACGATGAGATCTTGTAGGGGATTAGAGTGTTGTGCTTCTGGAAAAACTCGAAAACCATAAAATAGGCATCAACTCGGCTCGGCGGGGTGCACAGTTCGGATTCGGACGTAACATAGAGCTTTCAAACTGTAAACTTTCAACAAAGTACCGTAATCTTGTCTCTATTCTTTATCAAATCTACCGTATTTTCTCTAAAAGTAGTGCAATCTGAGCGTCGCCTAAATTGCTCGAAATCTCGAGAACCGCTTATCAGAACCTATCGATGTGGGGTCGAAAAATGTAGCTGACGATGAGATCTTGTGGGGGAGTGGTAAGCTTCTTGGAAAAGCTTGGAAACCGTAAAATAGACATCGGCTCGGCTCGGCTCGACTCGACGAGGTGCACTAGGGAAAATATGGTATCCAGTCCATGGTTTTAATCATAAGGACGCTGTAGGCTAGGCGGGCTGGAGTTGGAGCCGCAGTGGGGGCCAGAATCGGACCCAGCTCTGATCTGGTTCGGTGATTGTGTTGATCGGTGATGTTGGGGGTGATTCTGGAACAATCCGGCTGCAAAAACATAGAACTGGCTGGCTGAAATGGATCAGTGCTAGAATTACAGGATGCAGAAGTTATGGCAAAAGTACAGCCAAAAATTTGGGCATATTGACGCACAAAGGTCCCTGGAGAGTTTCATCAGCCATCAACATGGGCATCACTGTGTACGAATGTGTCAAAATGTCTTTGTTTTGAATAAGAAGATAAGATAAAAATTTCCACTTTATCTGCACGTCTCCAGGCTAAAGTTCGACGAGTCGTCCTTTCTTTTTTTCACAAATCCAAACTGGTCACAATTAACAATCTCCGAAAGTTTGTATCCTTTTCTTTACAACGAAATCTTTGAATCGATCAATGAAATCGTCTCCTTCTTTAAGGCTTGATTTTTAGAAGACGCCTTGGTAACAAATATTGTGATTCTTCTTGAAGTTAGCCCAGCTGCACAACGGATTTTCTAAGCCCAACTTCGAGATCTTGACTTTTGATGAGCTTTTTTTCTCGATCATGCGAAAAAGGAACATTTATCTATCCTGGGCGTTTGCCAGATGGAGAGCGATTACGCGGGCGCAAAAAGAACACCTCGCCAATCATTTATATTGGGGATTTCTCTTGTTTATAGATGACACAAAAAGAAGGTATTCACCTGGGAAGGTCGACTGGATAGGCTGGCCAAATAGCCATGAACCATACGTCTATGAAGCAGAATTTGAACGCTGATACCGAATCTGCTTTCCGTTTTTGCTAAATAGCACTCTATCAAAAGTTATACGCATTTAGGAGTTATACGTGTAAGGAGTTTCAAAAATCAAAAATAGACCTTAAAATCGGACTTCTACCGATGTGGAAGAAGTGCAGGGGTGGCAGAGTGCCTTGTATTCTACAAGGCAAAACATGCCGGGTTCGAACCCACCAGCTGGCTTTTGTTTTTTTCCTTACCCCCCCAACCGAATTTGGGCGCCCCACAAATACAGATAAGGAGCCCAGACCGTTCACATCAAATTGCCTATGACTGTTCATCAGTCGTCGCGGGGGCCATTTAAAGCCATTTAAACCTAAAAAGCCAGCTGACGGATTCGAACCCGGCAGGTCTTTCCTTGTATTCTAACCTATTACCACTTGGCCACCCCTGCACTTCTTCAGCAACAGAAGTCAGGCTTTAAGGTTTATGTTTGATTTTTGGGATCTTTACGGTTATTGGGAGGGTCGAGCGATTATCGGAGTGGCCGAGTTTTTGGCCAACTTGCAGCTCATTTTTAAGCACCTTAACCTTGTCAGATCAGGAAGTGTTAATAAGATTTAGATAGCTTAGAACGTCAACTTCCAGAAGCTATTTGTTTCATCCAAAGTTATTAACAAAAACCCATCTAAAATCGAGCTGCAAGTTGGCCAAAAAAACTCGATCGCCTCTGATAATCGCTCGACCCCCGATAGCCGTGAAGATCCGATTTTTGAAGCTCCTTACAAAACTTTGAGGGCGTATAGCTTTTGATAGAGTATTATTTAGCAAAAACGGAAAGCAGATTCGGTATCGGCGTGAAATTCTGCGTCGAATCGTCTATGGCTCATGTCATTTGACCAGCCTATCCAGTTGGCCTTCCCTTGTCAGCTGAAAATTTGTACCCGAGGGTTTTCGGGGTTGGGGAATTGTTTGGAGATATTATTAAGCCACTAATCAGAACTCGGCTTCTTTTAAATCTGATCCGTTTCCAGGTGCAATTCGTGATCGACTCGGTAATCGATACGGTGATTGGCAAGAATTTGCGAGGCACCGGCATAAAATGACACCAAGAGAGTTACACCGTTCTTTTCTTCTTAAATTTCTCTCACAAATACGGGTATTTGATGATCCTCTGCTGTTTTTTTTTGTTCAAAAATGTCTGGATTGATATTTATTGCTTTATAAATCGCTTTCTCATCGTAGTGACAGTGTTTGGATGTTGTGTGGGGTAAGGATGTCGCAAAACGGTGGGTATTTTGGGTACTTTTAAGATTACTGTAACCAAAAGGCAGTAATCTTCTTAAAATCAACAGTCGATCATTCCTAAAACAGTAATCTATACAGTTTTTGTTACAGAAATCTTCTTAAAAAAACAGAAAAGGAATTATGTTCGATTGTTTTATGTTTAAATTTAATTGAGAGCTTAGTTGCGTGAATTTTGCGTATTTATTGTTAGGATAAAGCTACCGTACTCCAGAGCTCACTACGAGAAGGCTAACTACGAGAAGTATTACCGTAACTACCGTAAAAAGTGACTTACCGTAATTTTGTCTAAAAAACAATTGAACTATGTTCCTTTTCCTATGGGCATTGATCTAAAGTATTAAAAATTTAGATTGAATCGTAGAATCTAATCGTAGAATGCTTTTGGATTACTGTAACTCTTCAAACACTTCAGCTGAGCCTAGCCAAAACTACCGTACCCCGGTAAAGAGCAAACGGAGTACGGTAGCTTTTGCGTACCTTTTAGAAAACGCTTTTAAACGAACACAGCCGATTCAGCGCACCAGATAACAAGAATTTTGCGCTAGGGTTACCTTAATCTGCATTTACATAGAAAGATACTATCTAAAGTACTGAAATATTGAATACATCATTGGATCACTTGAAAGACAGACAAAAATTTACCCAAATTCCGAAATCAACGATAAACGGTTGTTTGTTCGCACGTGGACTGCTGAGTGTCATTTTAGAGCTCATTGCAAAGCTGTTTCAAAATCAACAACCGTGACCTGAGCCAACAATTGTCTTGGCTTTAGCTTTTGCTTACAAGTAGCGTGGTCTGAAGAATTGCTCTTTCGGATCTATTAGGCTGTCCAGGCTATCCAGAAAGTCTTTTCATTCCTTTTCGCCTTTCCGCTTACAACCAACAAATGCACCAATTGAACTACGGTTTATTTCATTAGAAAGACTAATTGTTTTTCCACAAAATAACATTAAAACGGATTTTAAATGTCTTATGTCTTGGTTTTTTTGGGAGCCTGAAGTCGGGTAGTCAAAAAGAGCGACGGCGACGGCTGGATGATGCGATTTAGGCATTTTAGCCAAGGAAACCTATTTTCGTGTCAAAAGTTAAAAGATAGAGCACAAAAAGTCTGGTATATAGCCAAATTTTCAGAGTAATTCATTCAGCCAATTTCTTCGTAGGAATTTTTATAGATAAAACAAAAACTCTTTTAAAAATGACAAACGACTTTTTGCTTAACGAAGACTAGTCTTAGTCTATTTTTTTACAATCGAAATGTTAGGTTGAGGCATTAATTAGAATTTCTGTTGCTTAAAGCGTTCAAAAAGACTCCAACATTGCAGAGGGGTCGAACCACGAAGCCCCTCTTTGGCGCCAAACTGACACACAGCGCCTTAGACCACTCGGTCAACGCTCATAAGGGAGAAATCGAGAAAGCGCGTTTTTACAAAAAAATCGCCCCTCTAACCCACAAAACTAATTAGATTTTTGGAAACTACATAAAATTTAGGGTACTTGTCGATTATACATCTACAGAGAGTCAACTCGGTTAAGCAAAAAGGTGACAACTTGTGAGGGATGATTATGTTCAGTGAAGTAGAGTGCTCGTCTAAAGTGATCAGTCGAACGAGAATCGATAAACGAGAAGGCTCGCATTGGGATGCTTAACCGAGATGATCTTTGTGGATGTATCCCTGCGAGCAATAAGTCTCTTCTCAACAAACCCTCAACCCAACGGCCCTCTTTAGACTCAACAAGAAGATGGTGGCGAATGGGATCAAGATGCTGCTGGCTGGTAAAAAGTTTGGGATTCGGTCCAATTAACTTTGTTATTATCTTAACTTTTCCACGTTCTTAACTTTTTAATAAATTCTTTTTCATAACGCAAAAACTTGTAAAAATTCGATTTAACGCGCTTTCTTTTCGAAAATTTACCATCAAAACTACAATATCACAATCAAAAGCACAAATGTTTTATGCTTGAAATGCGTTTTCTTCACGAAATTGACTGCCAAAGCCGGGAAGGTAGACCTGGAAAAAGTGATTAAAAAGTTGATAGCTCCAAAAGAAAATAGCACCTTCATCTCCAAAGTTCCGGCACAACGCTTTTCGGTAAGCGGTATCTCATGTGCCTAAAGAAAATTCATTAAATATTTGATTCAAAATCGAACCTAATTGACAGAATGTCAGGTGGAGCTGAAGTTGGAGGAGAATGAGCTAAAAACAATCATCATAGCAAATGCTACTTGCTATTATATTGGCAACTTGAAAGTTGGTACACTTTTTGTATTTCCCAGACAACATATTTAATACATCAATTGAATTAGACTTCTCTAAATAAAAGTAATACATTATCTAATTTAAGATATGCTTCAGCAAATTTGGGTAACTTTTGAAACCAATTTGAGCAGAAATTCAAGTTTTCCTGAAAATTCTTCAAACAGACATATAATTAAAGCAATTAGACAAATCGCGCTGAGAATTCGACTATATGCCAAACTTTTCATGATCTATCTTTTTCCTATTGGGATCAAAATAGGTTTATGTGGAAGAAAGTGCTCAAATCGCTTCATCGAGTGTTCATCATTTTGGCTCCTCAACTTCTTGCCCCCTAGAAACCTACAAAACCAAAGCTTTTCTAAATCTGACAAAAGTCTTTTTTAGAGAATAAATGGGCGTTTTTTTTCGGTAAAAACTGTAAATTAATTGGCGCAATAGTTATTTCTAAAAAGTGCAATGAATAAGTGTACCAACTTTCAAGTTGCCAATCTAATACTTTCTAATACATTTTAAACCGAAATGTTTCAATTAGGTAAAACGGTAAGGCCAAAGCTTTACTAGTTGCAGTCGAGTTAGGCAGCGTTTGCGTCGTTGGCATTACACCAGTGCTCGTTGTCGCGTCGTGGGGTAGTCGTATCGGCAACGTGGTAGCCGTCGATTCAATGCCGTCAGTTCCAATGAAAGCTTCCGTTGTGACCGTTCCACTATCCGTTTTCCTCATCAAAAGCATGATCCCCGTGATGAAGCCAACTAAAAGTTTAAAAATTACAATAGAAAAGCAAGATTCAACACACCAATCAGGAGGAAAAGGATAACACACACGGCCAAGTAACAGAGAAGCTTCTTTGCACCAATTTTCTTGCTCTGAATAAGAAAATTAGTAAGCAAACTAATCTTCTATCTACCCTGCCCATAATTCCCTTTTTCTCTGCACCAGTTGGTGGGCCCATCTCATAGTCATCATCTTTTGTCATTCGATCACTTTCGGGTGAAACCTTCAACACACGATCTTGATATGCTAGTTTCGAATCACCACGTGATTTTGATGACTAAACATTAGTTTTATTGTTAAAAATGCCATTTTAAAAACTGTACTTTTTTGTTAGGGTTTTCCGAGTCGGTCGAACTACTTTCCTTGGTCGACTTTTCGACGAATTGATCAGGCTTCTAAAAGAATAGTTAGCAAAAAAAAAATGAAGAGTCGTACCTTTTCGTCAGCTTTCTCCGAGTCGGCCTCCTTGGTCGACTTCTCCAATTGATCAGGCTTCTAAAAAACAATGGTTATATCGTATTTTAGCAGGACGTTTTACCTCTTTGTTCGCTTTTTCCGAGTCACCAACATTCACGTCTTTGCTTTGCTTTTCCGAGGAGGTCACTTTCTAAAAGAAAAATACATTACCGTATTGAATGATCAAGTACAAACCTCGAACACGATATCCACTTTCGCTTTGGCATCGTTGTCAGAAGGCAGATCTCTAAAATAACAAGCTATCGTAGAGAAAAGTATTTACACCATTTTTACAAAATTATTTTGGGGTAAGCCAAAGCTAGAAAGCTCTCTAACTGTGTTTAAAGGTATGTCTAACGAACTACTAAGCGTGCTAAGTTTTTACACTACATAAACTAGCAGCTAAGCAAACGCAAGCCATTTTGGGGCTATTGTAGTGGGCGGAGGGGTACTTGTGGAGTATCCGGGGGTCTTTCAATATCCGGGGGTAAATTTTAAGATCCGGGGGAAAATTTTAAGATCCGGGGGGTAAATAAGATCCGGGGGATAAAATTTTAATCGCATCACGCTCGGAAAGCGCGCTCACCTCAGAATATCGCATTCTGAAAAAACTTTGATAGTATCCTAGTTGGGGGACCACTTTTCTTCAAAACCACGTGTGGGTTGGGCATCTGCCGGACCCACATCAACACATAAACTACCTCAAAATGGTTTTGAAGAAAAAATGACCCGCCAATAGGATATTATCAACATTTCTAATAATGACATAAATTTTTGTAGAGTTACGTTTTGATCGAGTATCACCTCGAATCACGTAATCAAGTAATCACCTCAATAAATTGAATATCTTTACATTTGAAGGGAATTTGCCACCAAATCACTTAAGCGGCTGAATATCTTTAAAAGGGGTCGTGTATAACGTATATAAAATTTTACCCCCGGTCTTAAATTTTACCCCCCGGATATTGAAAGCCCCCGGATACTCCACAAGTACCGGCGGAGGGAATTTTTTTCGCCAAATGACCTGATTTTTTTGCACCCAGGAGCTTTTGATTATGCTGAATCGATTAGTGATGGTTTCACACAACATTTCACAACTTTTAACAACGTTTATAACAAATGTACTGAAAACCTAATGTACTTATTCTGGGATGAAGGGGCCAAAAAGTACCCGTTGTCTTGAGTCATGTCCTCGTTGCTAACTTGTTGACATTTCTTTGTTGTTATTTTTGTTGCTATTGTTATAAACGTTGCTAAAAGTTGTGAAATATTGTGTGAAACCATCACCAATCGATTCAGCATAATCAAAAACCCCTAGGTGCAAAAAAATCAGCTCATTTCGCGAAAAGAATTTGTCTCCCTCGATAGCACCGACCTTTTACCGGCAAAAAGTTGAACAAACAAGTTAAAAAGTTAAAAACAACAGCATAAAAACGAACTTGCTCGGCGGTGATGGTGGTGGTTTCGAGTCCTTGTTGTCAGCCATTGTTGAAGACGATCAATGAAAGAATGATGGGTGCGAGAGCTCATCTTCCTTAAGAATCACCAGTAAATGTTAATCGGAAGAAATTGGATGCAAGTTTTAAAGTGCTTCTTTGCTCCTTAAAGAGAGGAAAAATTCTTTGCAACAAGTGTTATTAAATAGCAAAACAAAATGCTATAAAATATTGCACGACTTAATATCTTTTGGCTTACTGTAACTTTTGGGAAGCGTGCAGAAAACAAAGAATTTTTTATTGTCGTTGGGGGGTAGACTGATTTCCGCCATTTCATTTGCGCAAGTACGTTTTTTTGCACAAAAAGGGTCATTTGCGCAACTTTAACACTGTATTAAGCTTTGTGAAATCTTTTAAGTTTTTGCGCAATCTTCCAATATTTGTCTAAGTTAGTCCTTCCTAGGAGCTAATAGCCATTAGTAAAATATTTTATTGCTTTAACAAAAAAGTGCACCCGATAACAATGAAAGTTAGGGCAACAATGAAAATCAAATTTTTTAAATATAAGCCAAAAGCTGAGAAAGATGTTGCACAAAATCGCAACCGGGCAAGCGACCATTAGAAATAGCAGTAAAACGTTGCTTTTGTCGAGCCAATACAGTTTTCTTCCGTGCGTAGTTTTGTCCAACAGTGAGATTGATAGCCGATGAAAGCTTGAAACGGTTGATTATTTGCATCATTTCTTCGTAAAGTCTGACCGCAGTATGCGATGGATGCGGATTCTTGGGTCCCTTCTAAAAAAGTCTGAATCAAAAGATTAGAAAGCTTTCTAGCAAACCTTCAACGCTTTAGAAAGCGCACCGCTCTTCTTTCGCGCTAGTCCCTTAAAAACGTCAAAAAATTTGCGCAAATGACCCTGTTGCGCAAAAAATAAAATGGTGGAAATTAGCCTACCCCGTCATTGGACTTGCTTATCGATACAAACGGCAAGCACATGTTTGAACGTTTAGCTCTCGGCTTCTAGAACAGTATCAATCTGCAAATTGTCTCATCGGAAAGCCAAGAATTTCAGTTTTTGATTGCTATCTCACACATCGCAAATTCTAATAGGTGCCTTAAAAAGCTTATCAATACTTATCGATACTCAAATATCGATAATCGATACGTATTGATAACGTTTATGAGGTGTTTACTCATTAAAAGTCGTTATGTATAAAATAGCAATCAAAAGCTGACATTCTTGGCTTTCCAATGAAACAATTTGCAGATTGATGCTGTCCTAGAAACTGAGATCTGAACGGTCAAACATGAGCATGCCGTTTTTATCGAGAATATCGATAAGATTCCCGGACAAAAAGCCCCCGAGCTAAGTTTTGTATACTTTTTGCTAGTTTGCCATGATTGTAGGCATGTAAACGACTGCCATGGCGAATAGAAGAAGATAATGGAAATAAATAAAAATCGCTAGAAAGCACAAAATTTTGGCAAACTAGCAAAAAAATGTACAAAATTTAGCTCGGGGGCTTTTTGTCCGGAAACCTATCGACAAGCCAGTCTGATTGTCATTTTCTCGTCTTTTTTCTTCTTCAGTTTGGTTTCCGCCCGCAGTTTTTGCTTAACTTTAAACTTTGAACTTTTATTACTTTTCTTTCAACCCGAAAATTACTCGAAAGACGCGCAACGATAAGCTATCCTAGATTTTGAACATACTAACCTATTTCATTTACTTGATTTCATCAAAACTAATTTTTAATTTTCAGATAGCAAATCATCATGGGTCGTCCTCAAGTGTTCTTCGACATCACTGCTGGTGGAAAGCCCCTGGGTCGCATCACCATGGAGCTCTTCAATGACATCGTGCCGAAGACCGCTGAGAACTTCCGTGCTCTCTGCACCGGCGAGAAAGGAGTGGGCAAGTCCGGAAAGCCGCTTCACTACAAAGGATCCAATTTCCATCGGGTCATCCCACAATTCATGCTTCAGGTAGAGCTTCTATATCTTTACTTTCATTGATTTTTTTGGTTTAGGGCGGAGATTTCACTCGTGGAAATGGCACTGGAGGCGAGTCGATCTACGGAGAGAAATTCGCTGACGAGAACTTCAAGGAGCTTCACACTGGGCCTGGTGTTCTTTCAATGGTAAGGATTAAAATCACTTTGTTCAATCAATTTTGCGATAATAATGTTACCGAGCTAAGCAACTAGAAGAAAGCACCAAATTTCTCCAGTTTGAATGGTTTTTAAGGTAATCTCGGCGTCAAAACCGTACCGCCCCAAATATAGGGACAATTTCTGATACAGAAATGCTTAGTTTTCTTTTCTCTCGAGCTTTTTTAAGATTCTGTGGCAGACGAAACTTTCTAAATTCTTCATATTAAGTTTTCTCCGTCACAGAATTTTAAGAAAGCTCGAGAAAAAAAGAAAACGAAGCATTTCAGTATCAAAAAGTGTCCCTATATGGGGACTTGGGGCGGTACTTCAAAAGTATAATAATGCTACCGAGCTAAGCAACTATAAGAAAGCACCAGATTTCTCTACAGGTTAAATTGGTTTTTATTTAGGCTAATGCTGGCCCCAACACCAACGGCTCTCAATTCTTCATCTGCACAGTGAAAACAGAATGGCTCAACGGAAAGCACGTCGTTTTTGGACGCGTCGTTCAAGGGCTTGATGTTATGCAGACTGTCGAATCGTATGGCTCGCAAAGTGGAAAGACTTCGACGGTGGTGACCATTGCGGACTGTGGACAGCTCTAGGTCTTTTGTAAGCTCAATAGTCTAGTAATTCATTTTGTTGAATCGCTCTTTTGTTTGTAAGTAAATAAAGTTTTGTATGTACGAACGAATAAAAGCACACTTCGGAAAACAAAGACAAAGACAAAGAAAAAGTCGACTTGTAGTTGTCTAACGACTTTGAAATTATAATTTGATGTTTTGACGATGGTACTATTGAAATCGATCTCCCGCAGCACGATTAAGGTCGTTAAAGGAGTTCTGGACGCGAGAATGTGACATGTGTATTCAATTTCCCTCCTGGTGACGTTTTGACAAGGCATGGTAATCGAATGAATTTTAACGAGATTTTCAAGAACAAACTGACCTTTCCTGACCACATCAATCTTTTGATCGCAGAAAATAAAACAAACAGTTGTGTTTTCCAAAGTTACTTTGCGGGAATTTTTATTTCATGTATCAGAAATGCCACGAGATCGAAACGCCGAAATCGAAAGTTTATCACAAACAATTGAATATCAATCAACGATGGTTGAATAGGGCTCGTGGATAGGCGTTCATTTGAGAGTTGATGAGATTGCTAGAGTTGCGAATGGGAAGTGCCACTGGATTCATGGAAAGGTCTGAAAAGCAAAAAAATTAGAAACTGTGATGTTAAGCATTTGTTTGGTTTGTGAGTAGAAATGCTTAACTTGTGATTAACGGTAATAGATTTTTAATGACCACTTTCTGCCTTCTTTTTCTCCTCAATATCTATGTCTTCTAATAAACGTAGAATGTAGTTAACTTTTTTAAACGGCTTATGATGTCAGGAATCTAGCTATCACGCGCGTTACCGTTAATTTTACCGTTAAGCATCTCTATTTGTGAGGGTTTAACATTGCATCATACAAATAACTCTACTATCATTTTATGTGTTCAATATAGAATACCCAGTCTGATCGTAGAACGTAGCTAGAATACCCAGTCTGATCGTAGAATGTAGCTAGAATACCCAGTCTGATCGGCTCGTCGTCGTTGTCCATTTGGGCATCAGATTATCGAGTTGCTTGGCGTGGCGATCGAACCATAAAACCACTTCTTTCTGAATCAAATTAAAGTTGCTATGAATGAGAACAAATTTTTACCTCGTGCTCTTTGGTCCACTTCTCGCGAATCTCGTAACTCTCAAAGGCTTTATCCCAAATGGCACTCTTTTGCAACCTTGTGGCCGACTCGCGAATCGCTTGAGCCTAAAACGTAGTCAAATATTTACTGATTAATCGATAAACCGAAACCTACCCTTGCGTAATCTTTCTCTGTGGAGATTTGTGAGATGCCGGCTTTGATCAACTCGCCAAGCTCCTTGTTTTCCAAACTAAAATAGGTAAAAGAAGTCTTCACAAACTGAGCATAGAAGGATTTATTCTGAAAAAAACCCACTTTTTCTCCGCGTCTTTGTAGTGTTTCTCCAAAAAGTCAAGCAACTTTTCCGCGTGATCATCACTACCAGACAAGGGACGTGTAATGAAGGTGACATCCTTAAGACATTAGAGTAATACTTGCGAGGGATCGCGTAAACCTGTTGCTTAACGTCTTTCACTTTCTTGATGATATCGATCAAAAGTCTAAAAGCACAATAATTTATAAAATTAACAAAACCAACTCTTCGATGAGATCCCAGTTCTTCGTGCAAGTGAGCGCCATGAGAAGATCGTTGCTTTCGATTTGATCGTCTAAAAGACAATACTTGTGTTTTAATGTATTATAAAATAAATTAAGTTTATGCCAACAAATAAACAAAAAAGTCTATAAAACCTACTCTCGTTTTTATAGAACTTCTTCACAGTATCGAAAATGGTTCTGTTATTTCCCTCGCTGCGAACCGCTTCACAGTAAATCCATTTACGAAAAACTTGTGGTATTCTAAATAAAATTAGGTAAATCGAAATGTATCAACGATTTACTTTGAGCATTTACTGGTTTTTGGTTTTTCCGTTGAGTTTTTCATTTGGCATTCGTTCAAGGTCATCACATTGAAAGCATCCCTAAAAATGAATAATTAATTAAAATTCGGGTACAAGCAACAATATCTAATAGCCCAATCTAACAATCAGTAAAACTTACTGGAGTTTAGGTTGACATTTTTCTGGCCAAAGGCGACATTCGGCTCGTAGGAATTTGATTTCAGTTTGTCTAAAAAGATCTATCAGCTACCAAAAAGCATCGATAATTCAAAGTCAAGTACTTACGAATTTACTGTTTGCTGGTCCAAAGTTTTATCTTCGTCCGCAAGTTTCATGAGCACTTTTTGGAAATTGAGTTTGTTCAAGTATTTCTGTCCCAGGTGGTGTCGAAGCACTTTCTAAAGGACAAGTTTTACCAGCGTCAACTTTTGTGATTCTCAAATTGAAATCATAAACCCTACCGTCGCTGACGCTCTCTTCGTCTTGTTGACTCTTGCCCATACATCGAACAAATTGTCGATAAGTACTGTCTTGGCAATCGGTGAAGAATAATCCTGAAGTTTACAAAGTAAAAAGGCTGATTAAAAGACTCTACCCGAAAGTTTTTCACAAAGCTCAAAGCTTCGCTGTAGTGTACGAGACCGGCTTTTGCTGCATAAAACACGTCATCATAGTGTCGAATCTGGCCACTCGGCTCGTCCTGTAAAAGAAGAATTGAACAAGTTTGAAAATTGCAATACTAACCACCGTGATCGAGAAATGATTTCGGATGTCTTTCCAATTTTCTCTGTAGTTGACGCGCACAAACGATTGAGCTCCGTGGTTGACGATTGGCAGCGATTCCGAGTAAATCGTGAGGGGTTTGGGTGACGCTAAATTGATCGTATTGTAAAAAGTATGAATAGTTTAACTCACAAGGACTGCCTGCATGAAGTATGTACAGTTTTTGTTGCAATTCACTTCCATTCTTTGTCTTGATGAAAAGCGGAACAGTCCATTGGCTAAAAGTAAAATAAAAAAAGTTTGTATTAAAAACACTCACAAATCAAGCGAGTCCTCATACTTCTTGTTCATTTTTGCCGGGTTTCCGAGATAATAACGTTGTTGCGTCAACACATACTCATTGGGGTTCTTTCCCTGTTTCACATCAATCATCGGGTAGCCCATCTAGAGCATATTTAAATTTGCACTTTCTAGTAAACACAAATTACCTTGTCAGTCCATCCGTCAGCCACTTCAACCAACGAGCGTCCAGCCAATGCTTTTTGAAGGTCGGCATTCTTTTTTGACGCTTTCTAAACATCAAGAATTTGTCAAATATATGACAAAAAAAGCAAACCTCCAAATATTCCCACAAATTCTTCGTCTCCGCATTTTTGTAGGCATAATCCTTGAGGTAATTCTAGACAAGATCATAGCTTATTCAAAGCTCAAATTCCTACCCTGAGTCCTTGGATGAAATTATCGTGTCCGATCATATTCCGCAACATATGAAGAATCGAGCCACCCTTGCTGTAAGTGATTGAACTGAAGCCGTCTCGTGCATCCTCGGAGGTTTCTGCCTAAACAACATACTTTCACGTTAGCACTCGCCAATCAACCGCCAATCAAGCACAATCAACCTTACCTTGAAATGAATCGGCTCAACGGAAGCCATCACATCCAAATTTAGAGCTTCGCCTTGTTCATCTCGAACAAAGTACTCAATCTAAACGGAAGAATTAGAGTTACAAAAATCCATACTAACCGCGTGAAGATTTGACTCAAGCGCTTCAACGGCAACAAACGCAATGTAATCGGCAAAGCCCTCATTGAGCCACAAATCATCCCACCACGACATCGTCACCAAATTGCCAAACCACTAAATAATAAAAAATAATTGATAAATTACCAAGAAATTGCAAACCTGATGTGCCAACTCATGAGCTATCACCTCAGAAACTCGTCGTCGCAAATCATAGGAGCCGTTTTCTTCGTCGAGTAGCAGAACCTAGAGATGAAACAATAAATTGAAAGATCCTAGTAGAATAAGCCCTTCCACTATTGAAACGAGGTCGAGTAGTATTAGATCAAACGAACCCTTTCTCGATAAGTGATCAGACCCCAGTTCTCCATTGCACCGGCAGAAAAATCAGGAATGGCCATCATGTCAATCTACAAAAGAAATACTACGTGCTAGTTTTAATAGCTTCCAAAGCCTACCTTTTTCAACGGGAAAGGAATACCAAACAAGTCTTCGTAGTATTCGATGCACTTGATGCCAAATTTAAGAGCATAACTCAATAGAGCTTTCTTGTCTTTACGAGCCCAAATAGTGAACTAAAAAGACAAAATTGGTTGTATGTGCGCAATTTATACTTACTTGGACGCCATTCTTCGTGGTGGCATTAACTTGATCAAAATCGTGAATGACTAAAGCGAGCAGATATGAGGACATTTTCGGGGTTTCCTTGAATTTGGAGAGCAACCACGGGGTTTTATATTCATCCATTTCTTCAATGGGTTTCCTGAACACTTGTAAATTGGCTGCATACGCTTAAAAATTACTGAACAAGTGCGCCATTACTCGTAGCAATCGTCCCTACTGGATGGTGGACAGTAAGCAACCATGGAGCCTAAAATGAAAATCATATTAGTGTATCATCAAATAATTCTACCTTAAATTCGGGTTCATCAAAACAGGGCACCATGCGACGAGCGTCAGTTGGCTCCATATGAGTGGTGGCAATCGAACTAAAGCAAGAATTCATAAGGTTTTAGGAATTTTGTGGGGATGGCTACTTTACGCCAAATTTTTTGCGCAACTCGTCATAACTCTCTTCTAAATGGGCCAATCTTCATGATTTTGGTGTCATTTTGTTGCACTTGTTGAGATCTACAAAATGACCCCAAAGATTGGCCCACTTCGAAAGTTGTGACAATGTGCACAAAAAATTTGGCGCAAAGTAGCCACCGCCGAATCTAGTACCGTTTCTCTCCATCATCCGTCAAATAGGTAGATTGGTAAAGGCCAGACAGAGACTCGGGCACGATTAATAGGTAGCGAATCTGAAAACAACCAAAGTAAATGATAGGACAACAAACAATTACCAGCATTGCATACTTGCCCGGGGGAATCGCGCGATCGAGAAGCCTGAAGATGCCCCTTTCGAGTGTTTTATTGTAGCTGACGTGCATACGCCCCCACATCCACGAATTATCCTAAAAACAAACATTGGCTTGATTGAACTTAAAAACCAACTTCCTGGGATTGCCGAGGGTTCAATCCTGTTAATACAAGATACAAGTAGGCTTCTTTGATCGCAATATCCTGGTAGATGTAGTTCAGTTGAATGAAGTCGACCTTCTCTTTGACATTTATCTAAAAATTAGGATAACAAAGAAATCGTAACAAAAACAAACATTTATTCTCACATTGCCTTTCACCAACCAATTCCAGGCTGCCGGGAAATTGCTTCCAAAGCCAGGAACGTAGACCTAAAAGAAAGGTTAAATTGATGTGTGAAAACGGGATCAACCTTCAGTTGCAAGTCGTAGTACTGCGGCAGCACATTCTTCGGTAGACGATAGCCCAATCTAAACAAGAATTCAATCAAAATATTTAACAATGACAGCATAATGACCTAAGCTTATCAATCAACAATGTAGGAAATAAAACGCTTTAACATTCCAATGGTTAGAACGATGTACCCATTGTTCACGCCGTGTGCCGAAGGAGAATCGGGTTTCTCGGTCTCATTGGTGTAATTCGGTGTCGTTGGGTGCTCGCTCGCCCAGACGGTATCTGCTGTGCACGTAAGTTTCGCAATCAAGACGATTCCGACGATGAAGCCCACTAAAGGTAAAAGTTATTCAAATAAAGTCCAACTTTAACTCACCAACAAACAGAAGCACTATCGCAGCAATGAGGATTTTCTTTGTGCACATCCTCTTCACCTAAAACAAATAAAATAAAGAGCTATTGGCAAGCAGCAAAATGTACACTCGCTTAAAGCATTGTACTTTTACATTGTACCTCTGTACATTTTTCACCAAACTATCACTATCACTAAGTAAGATTAGATTAAGAAATGTATCATTAATCACCGTGTCGAAAATTCCGTTTCCTCCAGCCAGAGCACCTTTCTCAAGATCTTTCGTCCTCGTCGAGTCAGTCGATGAGGTCACTTTTGACTTGACATTTGACAACTTTCGCGCCTTGCTTGAAGATTTCGTTGGCTAAATTTAAATATTATCTTTTTCGTTAGTACAAACCATAAAAAAGTGATAGAATTAACAAAGTTACGTACCTTCTTGTCAGCCATCTCCGGAATGACCAATTGAGCTCCCTTGCGCGATTTCTCTAACTCGTTCCCTGCATTCACTTTCTTCTCCGCATTGGCCACTTCCTAAAGTAAAATTTATCAAAATTCACATAGAGCAATTTCCAACATCAAATCGCACAACATATTTTGAGCTGATTTCCTTGCGCGAGTGTGCATCTCTAAAACAATTTGACATTGGATGTTAATAAAAATTGAATTTTCTCTACAACACCCTCTAAGCATTGCTTAACTATTAAGCTCTACAATTTAGATTAACCAAAAAGACATCGTGAGTCAACAAAAAAACAGATGTTAGTGCTTTAAAAGACTACATTAAAACCTCTGCATTTAGCAGGTTATTACAGTCATGCACAAAAGTCTTGTAACATCCAGTTTAGCAAATTTCAAAGTGTAATAACTTTTTTGCAAAGAGGCGAATCAATTGTTGGCGAATCAAGAGTCAATTGCTAATGGGCCGGGTCGTCACTCTCGCAAATGGTGGAAAAGCTCGTCTTCCAGGATGTGTTCAACTTATCGTGTTCAACTTATCTCAGCTCCTCCATACAGCCCAGATTTGAGCATCTTTGAACTTTTTTGAAGCCAAAGTTGGAGGGAAAGCGACTCAACTCGAAGATAGAGATTTGGTTCTTCATTCGCCGTACCGGGTCATCCCTGGGAGCCCAAATTCTACGCGATTTAGTTTATTCAATGCCAAAGCGGATCCAGGAAGTCAACAAAGCTAAAGGTGGACCAACGAAGTATTAAAAATTTGATAATTTCGATGGTTGTTTTCAAATGTTACAAGACTTTTGAGCATCAAAAATACGCCCGTTTTTTGTTCTTATTTGTTTTTCTTAATTTTTGGTTAATCGTTTCAATAAAGTTTTTCTTGCATATAAAAATAGAAATTTTTGACAACTGAAAACCAAAAACTGTTTGGGAATTCGCCTCTTTGCAAAAAAGTTATTACACTTTGAAATTTGCTAAACTGGATGTTACAAGACTTTTGTGCATGACTGTAAAAGTTGACCAAAAAGATAAAAATCTCAAAAAATTGCATAAAAACGAACTTGTTCGGAGGCGGCTTCGAGTTCTTGTCGTCGGCGACCATTGTTGAAGACGATCGATGAAAGAATGACGAAATCGAGGGTTCATCTCCTTAAGAATCACCAGTAAATGGTAATTAGCTAAAATTGGACGCAAATTTAGCTCAACTTAGAGATTTATGCAAATTTTATCCTTGTGCTGTTTGTGCCGCTAATCAAAGACTTTCTAAGCGTTTCGGAGAAGTTTATCATTGTAAAAACTAAAGTTTATCATTGTTAAGTGACCCAGAAAACAGAATAGAACTTTGTAAAAGACTAGCAGCCGGCTTAATACCGGATTCTTTTCAGTTCTAAAAGATTTTGATACTAGCCTAGTTGGGGGATTTGATACTAGCCTAGTTGGGGATTTTTTTCTTCAAAACCACTTTTCTGGGGTAGTTTTATGCGTAGATTCCGAAAAACTACATCTCAGCTCTGGGTTTTGAGTTTTAACCCCTCAAATTAATTCTTTAAAATTATGCAATTCTAAGGATTTTCCACCGTTTTAAGTGCACATTTGCAAATTTAAATGCAAAGTCAACAAATTTAAATGCAGTCACATAGGATAGTATCAACACTTCTTCTGACATAATTTAGCCTACTGATTACATTATTGATCAAATGGAGCATTTGGTTCTAGTTTTGACCTTGCTTTTACCTTTGAAAAGTGCTTCGATAGCTTCGGCTCCATATAGTGAAGTACACTATAGAAGCGCGAACTTTGGAGTCGAATTTAATGCCAACTAATGTTAAGTCTACTCCACGAACACTTTGGAGCCCCGAAACTCGGCTTAAAACGCCTTTTCCCAAGTTCTCGTTGTGTTTTTCGAAATCTACGCATAAAAATGTTCAGAGGTCAGGACGCTCACGAGAAGTTGATCGTCACGCAGTTTTGGAGTGGGCGTCCTGATCGTTTGGAGAGATTCGTGGGCGTCCTGACCTCGGAACATCGGCCAAACTTTCCTCTCCTTCACGAAACTTTGCGAACCGATTTCGGGCCGTACGATCCGTAACAATGCCTTCGCCAAACGCCTCACAAACTTTTCTGCGGCCTCCGAAGCATTCAAATTCAATTTCCGTTGAAACAAGAGCAACAAACGAATTTCCTCCTTGGAGAGACTCATTGCCTGAAACAAGTATAGGGAAGTTATATACCAAAATGACCGCACGGAAACGCGCTTTCTAACCACATAAAAATCTTCCAGAAAAACAATAACGCTGAAAAACTACGGCTACACCGGAAAGAACTTTCCGGCGAACCTAATAAAACGAACTTGTTCGGTGGCGACTTCGGGTTTTCGTTCATCGTCGAAGAGGCTCGATGAAAGAATGACGAAATCAAAGGCTCGTTTCCTTAAGTCGATATTAATTTGAACACAAATTTCGATTCAAAGACAATCATACAAATTTATCAATTTCAAAGAACTTTCAATCAGTGTGCGCTAGTTTTTGCTGCGGGCACATTTTATAAAATGTTTTTTTTTTCTGTTTTTGTGGGAGTGGGACAAATGCGATTTTTTTTTTGCGCACCTTTTTTTGCGCACCTTGTCCATTAGCGCACCTTTTTTCGCGTTTTAAAAAGAGCTCTAAAAAGCTAATATTAACCAATTTCTATTCCAAAAGTTGTTTTTCTAGGTAATTTTAGGGCGTAGAATCGAAATTTTGACATATCAGAGCTTGTGGAAGCGAACGGACGGAGTTATACAAAGAGAAAAATCGACAATTTTCTGTAATTTGATCTAGCCTTTCATTTGTCTTTCAAATTGGTTCCACACGCTCTGTTATGTCAAAATTTCGATTCTACGCCCTAAAATTACCTAGAAAAACAACATTTGGAATAGAAATTGGTTAATATTAGCTTTTTAGAGCTTTTTTAAAACGCGAAAAAAGGTGCGCTAATGGGCAAGGTGCGGAAAAAAAGGTGCGCAAATGTCCGGGTGCGCAAAAAAAGGTCCCACTCCCGTTTTTGTGGTTTTCTTCGTCTTTATGCGAATTTCTTTGCAAAAATGGTTTATTGAATTGTTTGGATTCAAAAGTTACAAGAGAAATTCATAGAAAAACGATTCAAAAGGTCAAATTTTGATGTAAATTTTCATTTTTCTCAACTAAAGGACATCAAAATTTGCATATTGGGGGAAATTTTCGAAAATAAATTTTTCAGATAGAGACGGGTCACCCGAGATATTTTATTGTAATGTCGACAAGAATTTTGGCAATTTGAAAATTAAAAAGTGAACAAAAAGCACAAATTTGAAAAAAAAAGCACAAATTTCATCACAGGTACATTGTGGCATAATGGATTTCGTAAAAATTGGCGAAAATTGCACAAAATTATCAAAATTACACAACATTCTTTCTACTTTTCATATAAAAACCCTGAAAAAGATGTCTGTGGAAACTAACGGTGTCTAATGAATGAAATAGAGGGTGGGACAAATGCGACCTTTTTTTAGCTGGAAAAGGCCTTAGGAAAGGTCGTAGAGCCTCGAAAATGTTTCCATATAAGGGAATCGTATGCGTAGATTCCGAATTTCGACAAATCAAAGCAAATCAGACCTCGCTGACACGTCAAATTTGAGCTAAAAGGCAAAAACTACGCAACTTTACGCTTTTCCGCAGTTTTTGCCTTTTAGCCCAAATTTGACGTGTCAGTGAGGTGTGATTTGTCGAAATTCGGAATCTACGCATACGATACCCTTCTATGGAAACATTTTTGAAGCTCTACGACCTTTCCTAAGGCCTTTTCCAGCAAAAAAAAGGTGCGCAAATGTCCAGGTGCGCAAAAAAAAGTCGCATTTGTCCCACCCCCATGAAATAAAATAAAATTGACAAGACACTGAAAAGTTTCAGTATTTTTGAATTCATTACTTGTTCATTGAATATCTTGACAATTGTTTTGTCGATTAAATTTCAAGATATTCAATCAACAAGTTCAATAAGTCAAGTTCAATCAAACATTCAATCAAATCAAATAAGTCAAGTTCACTAAAAATTAGAAAACTGACAATAGTTCAGTGTTAGTTTTTCGAAATCAGAAAAAATCAGAAAACAAATCAAAACAAATCAGAAAAAATCAGAAAACTGAGAATGTTTTTTTGAAATCTTAACAACAATTAGTCATTCTCAGCATTCCAAAACATTTTTGTGACCAAAAAGGTGACCAAATAGGGGCTTTTTTAAGAATTTTCACTTGCGATCTTTTTCCGAGAGAATCCTGGATTGGCGCTTTAAAGCGTGGTAAAACTACCGTACCCCTCCAATTTACGGAAAATTTATTTTTTTCATTCTTGTTCATTTGATTTTATTCTTTTTGCGTTTTTTTTAACGTTTCAACGTTTCTTCAACTAAAAAGTCACAAAAACAAAGCCTCCGGCATAGAAAATGATAAAAACCACTTAACTTAACATTAGTTGGCTTCAAATTCGTGGAGTAGAGTGTCAGGAAGCAAGTGAGTCTAACAAAACTCTACAAACAAAGCCTCCGGCATAGAAAATGATAAAAACCACTTAACTTAACATTAGTTGGCATCAAATTTGTAGGCCAGAGCGTCAAGAAGCAAGTGGGCCTAAGCAAACTACCAACAACGCTTCCGCTATAGAAAATGATAAAAACCACTTAACTTAACATTAGTTGGCATCAAATTCGTGGAGTAGAGTGTCAGGAAGCAAGTGGGTCTAATAAAACTCTACAAACAAAGCATCCGCCAAAGGAAATGCTGTTAAAAACGTAACTTAGCTTTATTCTCTTTTTTCCGCAAAAAGAAACGCGACCACATCAGAAAAACGCAAAAAGAATAAAATGAAATGAACAAAAATGAAAAAAAAATGAAATTTTCCTCAAATTGTGAGGGGTACAGTAGTTTTACCACGTTTTAAAGCGCCAAACCAGGATTTTCTCGGTAAAAGGTCGCAAGTGAATTTTGAACGTCTAACGTAAATGAAATGGCAGCTATGAATTGTCAAGGAAAATGGGATAGGTGCTTATCGAAATTAGTGCAAAATAGAAACAAACGGTTTCTCTCGTTTTCTTGAAAAGCAGCTATTTAAGCTATTTAAGCAGCTAAAAAGCAGCTTAAAAAGCAGCTAAAAAGCTATTTAAACCACCGTAATCGACCAGTTTTCATCTAGTCAGCTCAATTTTTGTATCATTGATCGATTTCCTTATAATTTCCTTATAATAATGATTTCCTCATGAAATGCTATCAAAATTGAGCTAATCGGATGAAAATTGGCGGATAAAGTAGTTTCCTAAAATGTCTAGGTGTTTTTTAGAAAACCCTAGCCATCTATTCGTCAAATTGTAATACCGTAGTCATTCTATTTTGCACTAAGTCTTGATGAGCAGTTTATACTTTTTGAGTACCGCTCCCAAGTGTCCTCATTGAGTGTCATTGCCTTGGCCATTGCCATTGCTCATTGCCAATGGCAATCGCGACTTTGAACGCGTGTTTCTTGTGATCGGCTTACCCGATTTTTCTAGTTTTAGTTTCATTTGATAGAGAAACTCATTACGAATCTAATGGTACCAAGAATGTGGACACTGAATACAGATGGGAACACTTTTTCACAGTCGCAAAAAGAAAAAGTCACAAAAAGTGCCTCCATTTGTATTTTGGGGTTTTCCCTTTACCGGTTTATCCAATTTCCACATTCTTGGTACCATTCGACTCGTAATGAGTTTCTCTATCAAATGAAACTAAAACTAGAAAAATCAGGTAAGCCGATCACAAGAAACACGCGTTCAAAGGCGCGATTGCCATTGGCAATGGGGACACTCAATGGGGACACTTGGGGGGCGGTACTCGGAAAGTATAGAGCAATCTACAGTAATCTGGATACACAAAACTACATGTACAATTGATGAAAATAGGAAAAAGTACATACATAAAAAAAAGAAGTAGATGGTCGATCTAGAAAATGGGACTGAAAAAAGATGATATTTTTGGGAAAAATATGAAAATCGTTTGTTGAATTGGAGCTGGTGTAGTAGAATACAGAAATACTTGGAGAAGTACAGTAATCTACAGTAATCCTTAGTATTTATGGTACCGTATGTGATACAGTGATCTTGCGTTACAGTAATCCTACTCTACTTTACGCAGTAGTCTGCAATTACAGTAATTACAGTAATTACAGTTCCAATACGGTTCCAATACGGTTCCTATTTTGATCTAATACGGTTCCAATACGGTTCCAATACGGCTCCTATTTTGATCTAATACGGTTCCAATATAATACGGTTCCAATACGGTTCCAATACGGTTCCAATACGGCTCCTATCTTACAGTACTCATTGTCAGTACTTTATGTTACATAATCTGCAATTACAGTAACACTTACAGTACTCAGTACTCAGCTACAGTAATCCTTAGTTACCGTATGATACCGTGCTCTCAACTACAGTAATCTTTACGTACAATATTCTACTGTACCTAACGGTATAGAAGACTTTGTCATGATGTTACTTTAGATGTTACTGTAGAACATCTAAAGAGCCTGAGCCTAAGCCTAAGCCTAAGCCTAAGCCTAAGCCTGAGCCTAAGCCTAAGCCTAAGCCTGAGCTACAGTCATCTACCGTACTTTTCGCGACGGTAATCTTTAGCCAAATTTGAATATAGTCTAATTGATTGTTCGCAATCCGTACTCTGTGCCAACTCTGTGCTCTGTGACACAGTGATCTCTTAGCTTTAGCTACAGTAGCCTTCTACTACACCAAACTTTAACCAAACATGAATTTAGTCTAATTGATTGTTCGCAATCCTCCTCGTGCACAATACATGATGACATTCCAATTCGAGAGACACACCAAATCGTCTTTTTCGACTGCTCGAAGACGGTCACCCGATTGAGCGATATTGCACATGCGGAGGCAGCTAAAATATTGAAAATTCGAATATGTATCGCATTTTATACAAGGAATACACAAGCAAAAGCTTTTGTATTATTAAGTCCTAAGCTTTAGGAAGAAAAAAACCCCCAATATACCGTATTTATCCTGATAAAAGACTGTGGTTGTGCAGAAAAGTAGCTCTTTTCTGTCAAATCTTATTTGATGTTTTGATTTTGAATATCTCTTATTTTCTAAAGATCGTTTGTGTGATAAAAAGGGACGGAGCACGCCCTTGTATTGCTTTTGCTTTGGCTATGAAACACTAAACCAATGGGGCAATGATTGATCATATTTTATTGTATTTTCTCGCTAGATTAGCGATTGTGCTATATTCCGAATATCTAATAAATATCTAATAAATATCTAATAAATATCTAATATTCATTGCCCCATCGGTACCCTCTCGCGCACTGCACAATGGTCTTCTAATACGGTTCCAATACGGTTCCAATACGGTTCCAATACGGTTCCAATACGGCTCCAATACGGCTCCAATACGGCTCCAATACGGCTCCAATACGGCTCCAATACGGTTCCTATCTTACAGTACTCATTGTCGGTACTTTATGCTACGTAATCTCCAATTACAGTACCACTTACAGTACTCAGTACTCAGCTACAGTAATCCTTAGTTACCGTATGATACCGTGCTCTCAACTACAGTAATCTTTAGGTACAATATTCTACTGTACTTCACGGTTATATGAATCAAAAATTTACAAATTTAAAATACAAATTTAAAAACTATTTTAAAAGATAGCTCAAAATAAACTTGCAACAAAAAGATCTCAAATTTGATCTCAAAAATTTGATACTCCTCTTGCTGTTCGTTTTTTTAAGCATTTCGGTTTGTGATGTTTTAGCGTGTGCTGAGAACGCAAAAATGTTTGCCACGGAGGGATTTCGAACCAGGCAAAAACTGGCATAGGTTTGGTGGACGCCCGCACTATCCACTAGGCCAATGGGGAAGGCTGGTTAAGCTCGCGCGCCTGTTTCTCGGCTAGTTAACCTCGCGCGCCTTTTTCCCGGCTAGTTAACCTCGCGCGCCTTTTTCTCGGCTAGTTAACCTCGCGCGCCTGTTACCCCGCTAGCTAACCTCGGGCGCCTGTTTCTCGGCTAGTTAACCTCGCGCGCCTTTTTCTCGGCTAGTTAACCTCGCGCACCTTTTTCCCGGCTAGTTAACCTCGCGCCTGTTTCTCGGCTAGTTAACCTCGCGCGCCTTTTTCTCGGCTAGTTAACCTCGCGCGCCTGTTTCCCGAGTTGGTGCCGAAATGTCACGGCCACTTCTCATCATTTCTTTTGAACGATTCATAGTGTTTTAGCCGGGCATTCCCGACGCGCGCACTTTGAATAATTATCAGAACTTTTAGGAAACATTTACCTTTGTCCAATAATATTTTTCCTAGAGCAAGTAACGCAGAATGTACTAGTAAAAAAGAATTATTTGATTTGAGAAATCGAGCACTGAGTTAGTTTTGGGAAAGCCGGGAAAGAGGCGCGCGACGTTAACTAGCCGGGAAACAGGTGCGCGAGCTTAACTAGCTTTCCTCATTGGTCTAGTGGTCTAGTGGATAGTGCGGGCGTCCACCAAATGCCCGGTTCATACTCAATAACTTGAGTTTCCATAATTCTGCCGAACTCTGTAGTTGTTGGAATCATTTTCGGCACAGCAATCTAATCAAAAGAAGCTCAATTTTCTGTTCTTAAAGAAGCTTTTGTTTGTTTTATCTATCAAATCCATCAATCTCAAATCTATCGATCTCAAATCCATCAAAACCATCAATCTATCAACACTCACCGATCCCCAACTCCCAGCTCTTCGTTGCTCATCCCCAAATGGGTGCAACACTCCCGATTGTCGCGATTCTGATTGGCACAGTAGAGGATATTCGATAGAAATTTCAGATCACAACCATCTTGTTGAACAGCCTAAACAAAAGATTATATAGAGATCATCAAAAGATCAAAATCCTCTACTCTGTGCTCTAATAAACAATCGCTTTTTTTTGCAAACTTCTTGAAATCCTAGGATTTCAAGTCCAGTATCGAATCCAGCACAATTCGAGCACAAAGTACACGAGCCAGCCCTACCTGTATCAGATTCTCAGCAGCCACGTGCTCCCGATGTTCATAGGTGCATAAAGAGTGACAATTCGCAGGCACCTAAACATTTGCCTTTAAAAACTGAATCTATTACTAGTGTCAAATAATTTCTTTATATTTCCCTACATGTTGTTGACAGCATGAAAGGAAGAGATCGTCGACCGTTTTTCGAGAAAGACACGGAGAGAATGGGGGAAGAGATCTGAATTGAATTTTGATTTACTTTGCTTGACTGTACAAGTATTACAATGATTACAAAAGGAAGCTTGAGCTTGAGCAATGAGCTTGAGGAATGAGCTTGAGCAATGAGCTTGAGCAATGAGCTTGAGGAATGAGCTTGAGGAATGAGCTTGAGCAATGAGCTTGAGCCTAAGCCTAAGCCTAAGCTAATGAGCTTGAGTAATGAGCAATATTTCCTAGAACTTGTCACCTTTCGAAAACGAAAACACGTTTTAGCAATTCCATTAAGCTACAGAATTCTAATCTGACAGTCACTGGTTCAAAAAATCACAAAAACCTGCTGGAATCAAAACCAGCGACCAGATTAAACCAGAAAGAAATCAAATCAATTTATTCCAAACCTCTTTGTGCCACAATCAGATGTCAAATCTTTATCGGAGACCTCAGTGAGCGGGTATTCGTTGTTCAACAATTTGTAGTCACCGGCTGAAAAGGGATAGTAAACAGATCATTTTCTAAGTCAGAACTAGAAGCTAGAAGCTAGAAAAGCTATAGAAAAGCTATCGTAATCTTTGTTTTATTGATAATATGTAAATTAAGTCACATATTCATTACCAGAGATTACGATAGCTAGATATGCTTCTAGAGGTATGCTAGGGCTTGCACTGACTTAAATTTAATAGTGTACTGAAAATACGGTAGTCTTTTTCAGCTCTAGCCTAGCCCGAGCCCAGTTGTGATCGAATGAGATCAAAGTCAAGTAGAATGGACTAAATCTGAAGAAAAGAAGCTAGCTTTCTGAATGATTACTTTATTTGCCTTATCAACAACAAACTTTGCCTTAACAACAAAGTTTTCCATCATTTCTTCTTTCTCTTCTTTCTCCTTGTCTTCTTCCCTTCTTTCTTCCTTCTTTCCCCTTGCCATCTTTCCTTTTTTCTTCCCCTTCTTTCCCCTTGTCTTCTTCCCTTCTTTCTTCCTTCTTTCCCCTTGCCATCTTTCCTTATTTCTTCCTTCTTTCCCCTTGTCATCTTCCCTTCTTTCTTCCTTCTTTCCCCTTGTCATCTTTCCTTCTTTCTTCCTTCTTTCCCCTTGTCTTCTTCCCTTCTTTCCCCTTGTCTTCTTCCCTTCTTCTTCCTTCTCTCCCTTCCTTCTTCCCCTGCCACTTTCCTTATTTCTTCCTTCTTTCCCCTTGTCATCTTCCCTTCTTTCTTCCTTCTTTCCCCTTGTCTTCTTCCCTTCTTTCCCCTTGTCTGCTTCCCTTCTTCCTTTCCTTCTAGCTTTCTTCCTTTCTCTTCCCCCTTGTCTTTCCCTCTTTCTCTTTGCAATTTAAGGCGCCATAGCTCAGTGCTCAGGGTTAGAGTAATTACCCGAAAGTAGAAAGTAAAAGAAAAATGCCGAGGGTTCAATCCCGTCTCCGGAAGCCTTTATTGTCATTCCTTACTTTATTATTAAAGTAACACCAAAGTTTTCTTACATTGTTGGGTACGTCGACGAGAAGAAGTGCCAAACGAAGTTGATTGTTTCATTGAAGAGGAGGATTTCGAGTGAGAACGTTGAGGAGTCTGAAAGTTAATTTGAACAAACTTTATCTATTGTTGCGTACTTTGTGCTCAACTCTGTAAACGCTTCCTTTCTTGCGCACTGAATTCTTCATGTTCTCGTGTAGACATTGACACTACAAACTACAAAGATGACGAACTGTCACACTACAAACGCTTGTAACTTGCTTCAAATTTGCTGGATTGACATGATCTATAGCTCAAAAGATAGAGAATCTCAAGAGCTTTCGAACGAGCTAAAGAACACCAAAAATATTGATTCTATAGAAAGTTACAGTGGCTTGTAGCCAACTACGCGTGAGTACGGTCCGTTTCGAGTCAAACAACTGTAACTTTCTATAGAATCAATATTTTTTGGTGTGCTTTATTTCATTCGAAAGCTCTTGAGATTCTCTATCTTTTGAGCTATAGATCATCTCAATCCGGCAAATTTGAAGCAAGTTAGAAGCGTTTGAAGTTTACGTTTGTAGTTTTTAGTGCTCATGTCTATTTTCGTGATAACAAACAAGAAAATGAGGACTTAAGTGCACCAGAAAGGATTTGTTTAGAGATTTGAGTACACCAAACTCTCACAAACCTTTTCATATTTGGGTAACTCGTTTCCAATCGTTTCGAATTTTTCCAATTTCTCGGGGCAATTTTCAGTCACATGGTCTAGACAACCAGAGAGGCATTTATCTGAAAAATGTCACTCAAATTACTGTACTTTGCTTTCTCTACAGTACTTTCTAATTGAATAGCCTAAATACAGTACACCCATGGCACAAGGATCGAAGCTAAATCGAAGCTAAATCAAAATCGGAGCTAAATTCTCGAAAACAAAAACTTCGGTGCCTCATGCTGGAATCGAACCAGCGACCTTCTGTTTACTAGACAGACGCTCTGCCACTGAGCCAATGAGGCGATGGTCTCTGGCCGCTCAAAGTGGTTTATAGCTGAGGAAGCGGTTTCAGCGGTTTCAATAGGCTAAATTCACCCGTGACACAATACATATTATTGTCTTCTCTGCGTACATTGGCTATCATCGTAGTTCTAGCTACAGTAATACGTACTATAGCTAGTACTAAATAGTACTATAGCTAGTACTACATAGTACTGAGCCTGAGCCAATGTGTTAATAGTATTGTGGTTTTCAAAAAAGACCCACCAATAACACGTTCGGAGCAGCAGAGGACTTTCGGAATTTCATTGCACTCGGGCAGCTCTGAAGACGAAGCGGACGAAAAAATGAAGTGAAGTTGTAGGAAGATTACGGTAGAAATGGTGAAGAAAGATTTGGGGCAAAATTTAGGGAGACCCATCTCACGCGAGCTGAAAAACAAAACTGAGATTGAGAATAAAGCCACCATAAAGCGACTGTATGTAAAGATGATTCGGATTGTTTAGTATTTTTTAGAAACCTCAATATCTTCTCTTTTTAACGATATAAAAAGAATTCTGTAGTGATCGTTTCTAGCGGAATCTAGATGTTTCAAAAAAGTACCAAAAAACCAAGTTAAACTGGCAGCGGCCTGGCAAATGACAACTGACAAAATGGCCTGGCAAATGACAAAATTCTAGTCTAAATTATTGACAAATCAAAAGCCCAAACATAATCAAAGGTATTTAAAGAAGCTAAAACAAATTTGATAAACTATGGGGTTGGTGAATTGAAAGCTGCGGGACTTTGAACTGCCGAACGGAACTAAAATCTATTCAACATAAAACCATGAATTCATTCCAAATAATTTCCATTATTATTGACGACTTCTGCCCATTTTACAGGCAATTTGCGGAACCCTCTTTCGTAGTAGGATTTTGGTTTGTGTGTGAGACAAGTGTGAGACTCAAAAATGGAGGAATGTCCCAGTTTGAGCACTTTCTTCAAAAGAAACCCATTTTGGTGTCAATAGAAAAGTTGTAGAGAATCAAAAATTAGGCTTATAGCCAAATTTCCAAAAAGATACACTTAGTAGTTTCGCTTAAAATGCAAGTTTTGTGAAATTTGTAAATTTGTTTTTTGATGTTTTTCTTTTGCAAGTACCTAATATAAGCCAAATCTCTAATGACTTGTGCTCTGATTATAAACACACTCTTTCTCGTGCACTGAATTCTTCATTTTCTTGCAGAAACGATTTAGTGACGGAAGAAAAACGAGTAGTTGAGTGCGCGAGGAAAAGGCGCCGTAAGTGCGACAGGAAAAGGCGCCGTAAGTGCGCTAGGAAAAGACGCCGAAAGTGCGCTAGGAAAAGGCGCCATAAGTGCGCCAGGAAAAGGCGGCATAAGTGCGCCAGGAAAAGGCGCCGTAAGTGCACCAGGAAAAGGCGCCATAAGTGCGCCAGGAAAAGGCGGCATAAGTGCGCCAGGAAAAGGCGGCATAAGTGCGCCAGGAAAAGGCGCCGTAAGTGCGCTAGGAAAAGACGCCGAAAGTGCGCTAGGAAAAGGCGCCATAAGTGCACCAGGAAGAGGCGCCATAAGTGCGCCAGGAAAAGACGCCATAAGTGCACCAGGAAAAGGCGCCATAAGTGCCGTTTACTGATTTGAGCTCAAAGTACACTGAAAGGCTGGCTGTTTAATCGAGATCTTTTCCAGATCTTTTCCAGATTCTTTCACAGATTGTACTCCTAATTGACATTTCCAATTCTACTTAAAATTGCGCAACCCCTGGGACCTTTAAATGCAATATTAGCCGGGCTAATCGGGCAAAGGCTGATCTGTTGTTTGACCTATTTTCACTCATTTGTATTCTCTTTTCAAAAAGACAAATATTGAGAAAGAGATATCTTTGCCTGTTCATTGAATACCCTTTCTTTTCTCATCTTTTCTATATCGAGAGCTCTCGACCGTGACCCAAATTTTTGCCTTACGCACAAAAAGACGGCGGAAATATTTGAAGGATCATCCGTTTTAGATTTCTCGACAGATTGAGAAAGAAAACAAAAAACATATGTGTACTTTGTGCTCTCGTGCTCTTGTGCTCAAACGCACACTCTCTAGCGCACGCAGGTATTTATTTTTTACAACAAAACGCTTCGTTGGGTATGAAAATGTGAAACAAATGCACCAGAAAGTGAAATGGATCACAGAAATGGCTTTACGAGCGTAGAAATTATTGATAAGCTTCTTAGATTTTTAGTTCTAATATTCTACAACATAGGCGCCCTACAGTCAACCAGAAAAAATTCGTTTTTGAAAAAGAAAAACCCTGATGCCCCATGCTGGAATCGAACCAGCGACCAGTGGTACCACCTAGACAGACGCCCTGCTAGACAGGCGCCCTGTTTACTAGACAGACGCTCTGCCACTGAGGTTTGCCATGTCATGCCCAAATTTGACTTCGGATCATGATTAGAACCAGGCCCGAGTCCACCAATTCTATATTTTGAAAATTGCAATAAGTTTTTAAAAAACAAAAATCTTGGTGCCTCATGCTGGAATCGAACCAGCGACCTTCTGTTTACTAGACAGACGCTCTGCCACTGAGCCAATGAGGCGACGGTCTCTGGCCTCTCAAAGGGCGATTTATAGCTGAGGAATGGGGTTTGGTTGGGGAAATTAGAGGCTGATCAAAGAGGGTCGCCTATAACAGGGCGCCACGAGGAAGGGCATTCAAAGCAGCGATGGTCTAGGGGATAGTGTGCTAGGCTCTAAAACGAATGCCGTGCTTTCTCGCGGGTTCAATTCCGCTTGCTGCCAAATCGTTTGCTTTTTTTTGGAAGACTTCCGAAAAACACTTCTTTATGATTATGCTAGTGTTTTTAAGGCAATAATTAGCTATTTCCATAGCTTTCAAAGTCGAATTTGCATTGATTTCCTTTATCTTTTCACATAGCTGAGAAAGCGGTTTCGTTAAGGAAATTAGAGGTTGAGCAAAAATGAATAGTCGAATTTGCATTGATTTCATTTCAGATTACGGTAGTTTTCAAAAGGGGTACTTTTTAGGAAGCTATTAGAAGTTACTACTTGGACTATTAGAGCTATTAGAGCTATTAGAGCTATTAGAGCTATTAGAAACTATTAGAGTTATTAGAACTATTAGAACTATTAGAAGCCATTAAAAGTTACAGTGACCAACCTGTAGCTTGTATTTCGTTGTTCTCTTGGTTATTTACTTCCGAAGAGTCCTCCTTGATGCGATGAGGGGCCAAAATTGTGGGGTTGCAATGGGTTTTCGAGGGAGCGATCCTGGAAAATGAATGAAAATGAATGGAAATGAATGAAAATGAATGGGGGGGAAAGTTTGAGAGAAAATCTTGATTTCCAGGGGAGAAATCAGTGAAAATCAGTGAATTCATATCCACCCCGAATCCAGTTTCTCGAGCGAACAAAATTTCGCTTTGTGAAAGTGTCAAGAGTTTTTTTTTCGCTCAAATCTGAGATTTCTCGAGGAACCCGTTGAATTGATTGTCTCAAAAATAACACCGAATCTCTTTAAGGATTTATTTTTTACAAGGAAAGATCAAGCCGTTAAAACGTGTCAAGACGTACTGTAATGGCCCTTCACAAGACCGTTACAGTACCTCTATACCCTAAGCCCTATCGTTACAGCAACCCTTGACCCTAAGACCTAAGGATGATCAGAAAGCTACTGTAAGCCAGAAAGCTACCGTAACCCAGAAAGCTACCGTAAGCCAGAAAGCTACTGTAATACAGAAAGCTACCGTAACCCAGAAAGCTACCTTAACCCAGAAAGCTACCGTAAGCCAGAAAGCTCTTGCTTCTAACTTTGCAAAAGTTTCCCTACCCTTACAGTGCTTTACAGGACCGTTACAGTACCCAAACCTTAAGCCTTTGACAACCTCCAGCCACTTATAGTGCTTTAGAAAGCATTACAGTACCCTTTGGGTTATGTTCTTTGGGCTGGTAAACCTACAGTAACCTTACCATACTTTACATGATCTCTACAGTAGCGCAATGCCAGCCTTGGCTTCCCCTATCCTTACAGTGCTTTACAGTACCACTTTGCCTTAAACTACAGTATCTACTGTACCATTTAGGGCCTGGATGCATATACAGTACCTCTACGGGGTATTCTAGACCTGGATTCCTTGGATTACAGTACCGACCATAACCTTTTGTACCTACCGTAGCCTTTTAGGACCTAGATACACATACAGTATCCTTAAAGGGTATGCCAGGCCTGGATGCTTTAGAATACAGTAACTAGCATAGCTTTTTAGGGCCTGGGTGCATATATAGTACCCCTACAGGGTTTGCCAGATCTGAATGCCCTGGACTACAGTACCTACAGTAACCTTTTGGGACCTAGAGAACCTTTTAGGGCCTAGAGAACCTTTTAAGGCCTAGAGAACCTTTTAGGGCCTATAACAGTACCCCTACAGGGTATGCCAGGGGAATTTTATGCATCTTTGACGCTAGGGACGTCTCTATTTTACAGGAAAATGCAAATCATTTGTGCACTACTGTATCTAAACCTACCGTAGCTCAAAAGACCTACCGTAGCCATCAAAAAGATCAACCCACTTGATTTCTCATTCCACCAAATAACCCTCCTCCATTGTTGTTCTGGGATTTGTCCAAATAGGCATCACCGCCGATTCCGCCGACTCCATGCGTTGACCTGAATTTGGTGTTTTTTTTCATTCTGAATAACCGTTTTGCCGTTTTGCTAAATAGATAGGCTTACAGTAGGCTTACAGTAGGCTTACAGTAAGCTTACAGTGCTTACAGTAAGCTTATAGTGCTTACAGTAACCTTTAACTTAACGGCGAGCTCTTTGGCGTGTACTTTGTTTGCTTAAATCTTTAAACACAAAGTTTTTAGTGCAATCAAATCCTCAAATCTTCTTGCAACAACGTCTTCGCAAGAAAAATGAAGAATTGAGCATAAAGAACACCATAAAAGAAGTGCTTTTTGTCCCTCAATCTTTCGAGATTCTCCAAAAATTTGTAGGATCTAGCTCGGAAAGCAAAAATTTTCTCACGAAAAGAATGATGATTTGTGACGAACCGGTGCCTTTCTTGAAGGCCTGTGCCCGGTTATTTCTCGACGCAAATCCGGCAAAACGATTCGAATTCGAAAAAGCGAGAATTTGTCCAAAAAGGACGGGCGGGGAAACCCGTCCAATTATTCATCAGAATGGCTTTTTGGGGAAAAGAAGGGGAAAAGGCTAGTCTAAGAGTCGGCAAAAATAAAGAAAATGGGGAAGAAATGAGACTAGACTTAGACGAGAAATGAGACAATCACACAGAAAGATCGAGATCCACTTTGAATCCCGAAAAGATAGACAAGTTTTAGGGAAATCGGGTTACGCAATGCGAATTTGAGAATGAGAACATCGAGAATCATGGATGGATGGATTTGAGCTATGAATGAGAATTATCCTACTCTTGAAGCTATTCTTGAAGAATTTTTGTATGGAAGAACGCGTATTCTTGAAGATTGTTGAAAATTGACTGAAGAAATGAGTTTTTAAAAAACAAAAATCTTGGTGCCTCATGCTGGAATCGAACCAGCGACCTTCTGTTTACTAGACAGACGCTCTGCCACTGAGCCAATGAGGCGACGGTCTCCGGCCGCTCAAAAGGCGATTTATAGCTGAGGAAGCGGTTTGGGTCAAGAAATTAAAGGCTAACTAAAGAGGACGCCGATAAGAGGGCACCACGCTGATGGGCTCCAGAGGCCCCGGCGGTCTAGGGGATAGTGTGCTTGACTTTGAAATCTATGCCTATTTTGCTCGTGGGTTTAATTCCGCTTGCTGCCGAATTGTTTGTCTTTTTTGGTAAACTTCTTTGAACTTGTTCTCAAGTCTCATAAGCCCACATTCTCTTGTGCTTAAGTCTGTAAACGCACTTTTTCTGGTGCACTCACTCATTTTCTTTCTCACGAGAAGAATGGAGACTTCAGTGCACTAGAAAGAATGCGTTTACAGATTTGAGCACAAAGTACATGCATGTCTAGCACTTTTCAAGCTCTCTAATCTAAACTAATCTATTTAAACTATCTTGTATACTATCAGTTTTTCCAGTTTTCTTTTAAAGTTGCTTTTTCTTTGAAGACAATGTCAAGGTGGAAAATCTGTCCCGTTAAATGATTGTTTTAATGATAGAAAGAATCAAGCAAACAAGAAATCCCGACATTTTAGGTCTATAAGAAATTTAAGAACATGATGGAAAAGGGGAAAAGATTGACACTTTTTGAATCTAGAATCCTTTTTTTTGTTAATAGTGGCGTAACGTAAAGGTTTTGTAAAGAATCCTGGATTTAGGCTGAACAAAATTCTATCTATAGTCTAATACTTGAGCCAATGTTAGCAAAACGAATCCTTCAACGAATTTTTGTATTGGCTGTACAAAGCAGAGATTTTTGTACTTTGCACTTGTACTATGTACTTTATACTGTATACTTTGAGCACAGTTTTGTAAGTAAATCCTTTCTGGCGCACTGAAGTCATTTTCTAACAGCAATGCTTCGGTGGCGCGAGAAAAACGAAGAAATCAGTGCACCAGAAAGGTGCGTTTACAAGATTGAGCATAAGTGGAACTTGTGGCAGAATTTAGGCCTTCAATTACCGTATTTTGTTTACTTTTTCATTCTATCAATCAGAGATTTCTACGTAATGTGTTTGCAAAACAAGAGGAAATTGAAAGTTCTCCAAAAAAAGAGAAAAAGATGAAAAATGCGTCAAAGTTTGGCAGATTTGGGGTTGAGGAAAGGGCAAAAGATTTGTTTTCCTAAAATTTTAACCCAAAAGCGAAAAAAGAGAGAAAAGAAAAAGACAAAAATAAAACAAAAACAATGCCAAAAGGGTGGAAAATATCCAGGAAAAGTTTCTCTCAAGTTTCTAAATGCAAAAATGAAAATCACGCAATCATTGGGGAATTTTTGTCTGAAATGGAAAAATTTGGGTTCACTTACAGTATTTAAGTCTAAAGTATAGTAGTTTAAAGCATTGCAGACTAAAGTATAGTAGACTAAAGTATTGCAGACTAAAGTATAGTAGTTTAAAGTATTGCAGACTAAAGTATAGTAGTTTAAAGCATTGCAGACTAAAGTATAGTAGACTAAAGTATTGCATTTGAAGTACAGAAATTGGGAAATTGGAAAAAATCTAGAAATTGGAAACCTTTGAATGAAACATTGGATTAGGCCAGCTTTTGATTGGCAGAGCTTTCCACGATTTGTATTTTTTGCTCCCATAAATGCACGCTTTCTGGCGCACTAATTTTGATTCTTTAGTGAGATTTGCTAGTGAAAAGTGGTGAAAAATGTGAACATAAATTGAGCAATTGAGTGCGCTAGAAAGCGAGCGGTTATAGCACAAAATACGAGCCTTTTACAGCTAATATCACCGGAACAGTACCCAATTTGCATTAAGTAAACGCTCGTTTTAATAATTTTATAAACAGATAATTTTAAAACAAGGATTCTGCGTGCCAGAAAGCGAGCGTTTCTGAAAGCACCGAGTAAACGGCTTTGTTATGGATTGAATTTGATGTTATGGATCATAGTTAAGAAAATAAAAGATTATCTTTATACATAAGTTTGTTCATAAGTTGTTCATAAGTTCTTGCGGTTCTTAAATTTGTGATTTCTTAAAAACCAGCGAACAGTTTCATCTGAAATTTCTACTGAATAATCTATAAGTATAAGCTAACTAGAAGCCAGGATTTAATAACGATCGCTTGATTCAATGAGCCTCTAACGTTGATGATGTGTGTTTCACTCTTTGTGGACTCGCTTAGCTTTCTAGAAACACTAATGAAAAACAGGATTCAGAATATTTTAAGAAGGATTGGTCAACCTAACATCCAAATAGAACAGTTGAACTTAAATTAGCTCTTTTAATTTCTCTTTTTTAGTAGAAGTACGGAAATTTTCTCGCACATTAGCCCTCAAAATAGCTAAATACATGCTTGGTTGAACAGTCATATCTCATTCTCTCGATTGAACCAAGCAATCGTCATCAAATTTCAGCTACTAGTTAGCATATACTTAGCGATTATTCAGTAGAAGTTTCAGATGAAGCTGTTGACTGGTTTTTAAGAAATCACAAATTTAAGAATGGCAAGGACTTATGGACAACCTAATAGTTAAAGAAAGTTCCAAGAAGATAACAAAAATAAAGATATTAAGTACTAAAACATCAAAAAAACTCACCAATTCCCGGATCCAGTTCCAACAGCAAACGTTGAGGCGCCGGTTTGTGGCTGAAGATCGGATAAGGCCAAAGCGGCACGGGGACACGGGCTATCAGGCAACATTTTTGCGTGCTGGTTCTGTAAATTAAAATAATTAATAGAAAAAGAAATAGAGAGGACAATAAAAGAAAAAGAAAGAATTAAACCGTGAAAACTCTAATAGAATGGCCCCCTATAAGAGCGTCGCGTAGTCAAAGTTTAACGCTCAAACAAACGCTCGTATCTCGACACCAGTACGTTTGTTTCTGCGCGCTTTAGTATCAAATTAAAGTCGAGAGAATGGGTGATTTTTTGAGCTATAATACATATTTTTAGCATCAAGCAGCGCTTAGAAAAAAACAATTGAAGAGTGGCAAAAAAAGCCGGCTTTTGCCGATTTTTCATCATTTTTCAATCATTTTTTCTAAGCGCTTGTTAATGCTAAAAATATGTGTTATATCTCAAAAAATTGCTCATTCGCTCTACTTTAATTTGATACTAAAGCGCGCAGAAACAAACATACTAGTGTCGAAATATGAGCGTTTGTTTGAGAGTTAAACTTTGACTATGCGACGCTTCTATAGGGGGCTCTTTTATTAGAATATTCAAGGTAATCACAAAAGTTATGGGTAAAAATGGTAGAATTTGCGTGTGAAAGGGAATATTTCAATACTTGAATGGCGAACTGAAAGAATATTGAAAGAAACGATTGAAAAATGATAAAGCCAGATGGAACACTTAGAAATAGCATTCAAATTCAAGTTCGGGACAATTAAGAAATAGAAAGGAAAGCTAGAAAATAGTACAAACTTTATAAAGTAGTTCTACTAGTAGAACTACTTATCAAATTGTACTGGCTTGTCGGCAAGGAGTAGTTTAAAACAAACAAACAAACAAACAAAGTAGTATTTGATAGTGAAGGGTACTCTAAGGCAGTAAATAGTACTTAAATATTATAAAGATGTTGCACGATGTTGAGAAAGCAAATTATCAATGAGAATAAAAAAACAAAATAAGATAAAAACAGCAAATTGTCGTAATTCGAGTTTAAGAATCAAGAAAATGTTTAAATTACTTTAGAAAAAACATATTGGAGAGTAGATATCTTAGTGTAAAGATATTAGAGTACGAATAATCCTGCTAAATCTTGGAGAATAAATTCTTGGAGTTCAAGTTCAAGACAACGAAGAAAAGTGAATGAAAATGCCGATAGATCTCTCTCGGATTAAAGAAAGAAAAAGGAAAGAATGGGCGGAGATTGCCGAAATTCAAGGCTCCGCCCATTCCTCCCCAAACAACATGGCGAACAATTTTCCGAGTTCTTCATGAAAAACTCGGATCGGCATGAGATGTTCAAGAAAAATGGGAAAAAGGTGGAAAAAAGTTCAGAAAGAATCCGCATACAACATTGGATTTAGAGGAAGGGAAAGGTTTGGAGGAGAAAAAGGGAAAAGACCGGAATTCGGACTGAAATTTGGAGTGACCGGTTTGCCAAGATTGCCGATTTGAGAGATGAAGCAATATTGCAGTCTCGGATTGGGAATTGAGGAGTCGGGGGGATTTTGGGGGTGAAAAATTTTAAGTACAAGGTGCAGCAGATATAGGGTGTCCCAAAAGTTCTTATACTTTTTGTAAACGGACAGTTTGACTCGGGGAACTGAAGAAGAAGGGAAGAACTGAAAACAAAGGATAAAGTAAACAAAAAAATGGTAACAACACTATTCAGCAACCACATCAATAGTAATATCACTATCATGGTCTTCTTCATTAGCGATATCCAAATTAGCGAGCAGCGAGCATCGAAATCCTTATTTCCTTGTTCGATACGAGCATTGATGAGCTGAATCATTCGATCGGGAATCGGCTCTTCCTTCAATTATAGAATCACTTCAAGCATTGACGGATCAGACGATGAGATCCATTGCTTCAAAAAGGAGCTCAATCATTCGATCGGGAATCGGCTCTTCCTTCAATTATAGAATCACTTCAAGCATTGACGGATCAGACGATGAGATCCATTGCTTCAAAAAGGAAGAGCCGATTCCCGATCAAATGATTGCGCTCTTTTTTGAAGCAATGGATCCGTCAACGCTTGAAGTGACTCCACAAGTGAAAAATGAATCGCTGATTGTTTGTTTCGGCAATTCGTCCCATACCTTCACAATTGCTCGTCGGCCACCACCCAAAAGACGTCAGATCCACCAACATCTTCCCCTTTCAGCCATCAAGTTGCCCTTTTTCTTGATCCATTCCCGGACTCATTTTGGCACGACTCCAAACTTCCGGGCAGCTGCAGAAATTTTTATCTTCCTCCTTTGCACGCATTCGCATCAAATTATCGTTTTTCTATATCGTAGCTTTGTCTTCTTGATTGAAAAATTGAATTGAATTGAATTGAATTCTTGTCTTCTTGATTGAAATTTCATCATCAGAAGATTCACCTTCAGGCGATATAATACCTAAAAAACGAAATTATTCATAAAAAGAAACGACAAATTAACAAATTAAGGAATTAACAAATTAAGCAAGGAGAACGCTAAAATGGTTATAAGGAAAAAACCAGTGGAAAACGTTAATAATAAAACAGCGTAGGGTGGGCGTTTATTCGAGGTGGGGTTTATTTTTCGATAACTTCAAATGGGGGGACGTCGACTCGAGGTAAGGCGTCGACTCGAGGTGGGCGTCTATTCGAAGTGGGGGTTTATTTTTCGATAACCTCAAATGGGGGAGGGGAACGACGTCGACTCGTCTCTTCGAAGAAATACGGTTATTTCATCAAATCTAACCAACTTCATCAAAAATTTTGTACCCAAAGCAAAGAAAGTATTCAAACAGAGTCAAGAATCGAATGTCTAGACTCTGTTATTGTTGATGAGTTCAAAGTTGAAGTTTTCTCGTCAATGTTTCAATTTTTTTTGACCCCATTCTCGATTTTTGTTTACGAAATCGCAGATGATATCACGAAAAAGGGAAATCGGGAAGAAATTCGTGGAAATTGAAAGCTGTTGATCGAAAAGGTGAAAGTTTTGATAGAGAAAAGTGAGGGGGGGGGAATTTGGGCCAAGGTTTTTCCATTTCCCGCAATTTCACTTATTATTTATGTGCAATCAATCAAAATTTGAATATGTTTCGAAGATTTTCGCTTTGTGAGCATCATTTCATTGAAATCAGCTTGAAATCAGAAGATTCTTGGCATTTGTGGAATTCCTTTTCTCGAAATACCTATCGTAAATCCACTAATAGTTGCTGTAATAGTTGTAATTGCTGCTAGAAAACCAGAAAGGACTGCTGACGAACCAGAAAGGTTTCGTTAAGTGCACCAGAAAGGGTGTGTTTTGAGCACAAAGTATACCTGGACACAATCTAACTGTGTGCTAGAAGAGAACACATCTCTTCTGGTTTTGGTTTTGTCATCTTCTGGGATTGTCATTTCACAAGATGTTCTAAAAAAGGAAAAACTGAATACCATTGTTGTTTGTTTATCGAGAATACCATTTTCTTCTCGAAAAGAACCCTGAATGACCTCGAATAGCACTCATTCTTGAGATATCCCTGCACAATGCCGTTCATTCTTCTCATTCCTTTCTCTTGAGCACCTTTCTCATTTCTTGACTACGCAACACTTCGCACCGTCATTATGGGGGTGGGCTACCATTACAGTATTTACGGTATGTTAATTGAAATGAACAAGCTTGAAAGCAGGTTGGTCAATAGTATTATCCGGATCCAAATAAGCTTATCTATATATTTTTCAAACTCAGCTCATCTAAACTGGCTTGGCTTGACTTGTGCTACGACATTCTATAAGAGAACTACGAGAAATGGGGTTTTCAAATGAAACCTAGTTCAGTAAATACAGTTTTTTATACTGATTCTGAATCTGTTTTCAAAATTTGCATATCACTTCGGAATCGGTATTAATAACTGTATCGAATGGACATTTGAGAAAGCCTTTGTTTTGAGGTGTACGTTGTAAGTACAGCCAGATAGTACTGTAAGTACAGGCCTGGAAGGTAGTACTGTAAGTACAAGGCCGGCAGGTAGTACTGTAAGTACAGGCCTGGCAGGTAGCATTGTAAGTACAGCCTAGCAGGTAGTACTGTAAGTACAAGCCTGGCAGGTAGTACTGTAAGTACAGACCTGGCAGGTAGCATTGTAAGTACAAGCCTGACAGCTAGCATTGTAAGTACAGACCCCCCAGATAGTACTGTAAGTACAAACCCTACCTAGCAGTATTATAAAGTACAGAGTTAGTCCCATCTATTATATTATAAAGCCTGTACTGAGTCGTCTCATTTCTCAGCTGTTCCAACAATTTGTCAGACATATTAATGAGTAGATCTACTTGAAGGGTTTCTCCCCGAGGTGTCCTTGGAGCCAGGCAGGCACCGATCACCTCCCCTTTTTCAGTGAATCTTCATTTCATGTCGGGAATTGATGGTACCCCGATACCGAGACTTTCTCCCAAATCTTTTCATCATTTCTCTCCTTTGTTTCACTTCCAATTGAATCATTCTCCAATCAGCAATTGGAAATGAAAGAATCAGCAATTGGAAAAATTGTGCAAGCCTGAAAATCAGCTGCAAATGAATGGTGAGAAAGAGAAGTTTTGGCTGGGGGATCAAATATTTTAATTAACTCAAGACTAGACCTAACAATGGCGAAAAAACTAACGAAAAACTATGCTTTGATCATTTTTTGAAGGAATTTCATGTTTGTTGATTGATATTTGTGGTTGGTTTGTTGTGTTGGCTTTTGGATTTCATTTTCGTGCTGAAATCTCACGATCATTTTTGACCATTTCCTTGTAAGTCCCAGCTAAACCTAAATAATCTTTGATTTGGACCAAATCAAGCTAGGACAGGTTGGCTAGCCAAGAATTGGTCAAGACAAGGCTAAGCCTTGACTAGGGCTTGGCCTTGTCTTGTCAGACCAGGCTAAACCAAGCTTTGATCAATAGTCTGAACCGGAGCAATAAAGGTAGATCAAGTCTAGGACAGATCAGGCCTGATCCGGAAGTTGACTGGGATCGGAACTTGACTAGGATCGGGGCTAGACCAGATCGAACCACTAGAACCAACATT